ATTTGGGCTCTCATTGGCAAAATGGGGCCACATCAACACAAGTCGGCAAATCCAGGATCAGGCTGAAGCAGAAATGCTTTAGACTGGCCCTGGAGGCAGCCACACACAGCTTTCCAAACCAGCTGCAGTGAAGGGCAGTGAAGAATCCACATGGTCCAGCTGGGCTGAGAGCATGTCCACGCTCCTGAACTCTCACTTTACCTTCTTTGTTGCCCTCATTGTTCACAACCTGTTACAGAATTCCATGTTCACTTCTTCCTGGTTGTGGAGGTACCTTTGTTGATTGTAACACGGGGCACCCATGGTGGAACTCATGTGGAACTCTGTGGCTAGATGGGAGTGGCAACAAATGTATGGCATTGCCAGTGCCCCACGTGGACTGCAACCAGTCTGAATCAGACTCAAACCAGCTGTCCATATTGCCTTGAAGCTATAGCATACTCTGGAGTTTCAAACACACTCTAGAGCATTCCTCTACATTTCCTGAAGTGGAACAAACCTGTGATACTTGCCAGCAGTGGAAGAACTTCATGAAGACAGCCAGGAGCCAAATCAGGCTGAGTTTAAATACCCTTGTAGATGAGTTCTGGGAAGGTTTTTTATGGAACAGGAGCTTTCTTGTTCAGGCCCAGGAACTATTGCATGGAGCTGAATTGCAATTTGCTGGCTAGGTAGCCAATGAATTGAAATGAGTGGTGGTTTTCATCGTGGAAAGTTAGTTGCACTGGGGCATATTCTTGAGAAAATGTATAGAATACAGATATGCTTTGCATGCCCGAAAGCTATTCCACCTAGACTTAAATCTGATCTGCACTTTTCATATTGATTGCAAAAATGTCAACATTTGGTTTGGCACTGCATCATGGACTTACGGCACTTCCAGACATACATAAAATGCTGGCAAAAAATGGGTTAGACTAACCCATTTTCACCCATGTTGTAGTCCCCACCCCCTTCCAAAACCATGGGATTTTCCTCCCAGAATGGCATCCAGCTACCCTCCAGCCCCCTATTCCCTCCCCCAAAACTTACCCCACAGGATTGCCAGGCATGGAATTCCTCTCTGAAGTCATGTCAGAATGACGCTGGAGGAGGAGGGGAGAAGAAATTTGCCACAGTTCCACAGCTCTCCTGAGAGGCCCTCCATGCCTTTCAAGCATGTGGGATAAGTTTTGGGGGAGGAGAGGGGACGGGGTCGTCATCCCATTCCTTCAGTCTTTTTGAAGCTTGAAGAAGCGAGATGGCTATGGGGACTCATCACAGTTCCATGAATGAGTTCCCACAGGCCCAATACTCTATTAGACCTGGGCCTTTCAGGAAGGCCCCGATTTAATGGGGTATCTAATTAATTCGTTTTTACTGGCTGCGTTGTTTGGACGCTTCCTTTAAAAACCGAGACAGGTCCCACTTTTGGGGCCTGTCGGGATAGGCCCTTAGTCAGACTCATTAATGTAGTAAGGTCTCCATGACTTTTTTCCAAATTGAAATTTGACGCCTAGGTTGTAAAAAGGTTATTACTCCTGTCATGTGGGCTGATATCTGAATATGTCAGCAAAAGGGATGCAGTCAGGGTTTTTGTTCAAATTATGAATAAATGCTTCAGTATATTTGCACATATTTCAGCATTAATCGCAGTTTTCACAAACCATGTTTTATTCCTTGACAGATATATTACTCTTTTTTACTACTTCAGAAAGTTTCTTCTAGTGCAAAAATTGCTGACTGTCCATTTAATGATTTCTCAGACAAACATATATAAGCAGGCTTTGAATATAATTTTAAACTGAGTTTTAGAAAAAGTATTTGAGTGTCAAAATGTTGTTTCAGTTTTCAACAAATTTATCTAAACCTTAATAAGATTTTAAGCTGCTCAATTTAGAAATATTTTCAAGGAGTTCCCTTATTTTAATTATATTCAATCCAAAGCTCTTGATGATGTAAGTATGGACTAATTTAAATAGTTCTGCTATTGCATTGTTCCCCTTACATTTAGGGTAGAATATAAATAATTGATTCTTTGTTACAAATTTCATAAAATAAACTTTCAGTGGCTGATTTACATAAGCTATGCCAACATTCTGTTTTTGGGTAGTAAAATCTTTTGAGGTTCAGAGCCCTTATATATTCTTGCCAGTTTTGAAGGGTTACATCTCAACACACCCCTCCCAAATTACTTAGTAATTTCAGGGGATATCTCAGTACCCTTGTGCTGAAACAACTGGGGCATCTAGGAAGGCTACATATGGCTCATGGACTGTACTTTGTCTATCCCTTTGACCACTATAGGCCCACCAAACATTGTTGCTTGTCAAGAAGCGAGCACTATATTAGTGGCCTAATCCCATGGCTGGATACACGAGCAGATTAAATGAAAGCTCAGAGCTCTCCGTTTCCAGACAGAATTTGAAGTGTTGGCTGTGTAAAGCCCTACACACCTGCATCTATCTAAGAGACTCTAACTTCCTATATGAGCCTCACTGAGTTTTCCGATCTTTGGAGGGAAGCCTTTCTCTCAGTTTTACCACCATCACAGGAAGGAAAGAGCCTTCTCAGTGGCTGCTCCTAAATTGTGGAATTCCCTTTCTCATGAGGTCTAGTTGGCCTCCTCCCTGCTGTCTTTTTGCCAGCAGATAAGCAAGACCTTATTACTAAAGGAAGCATTTGGTTCTTAATATATGGGAACATATTATTCTGTTTCTATTTTAATACGTTTCTATTTTAGTATGATTAGTATGTGTTTTCAAACTTGCTTTTAACTTGTATTTTTAAACTTTTGAAGTAGAGGTTATTGTTATACTGGTATTTTATTTTTAAAGGGTTGCATATAGTCTTGAATCCCTTAATTGGAGAAAGGAATCACATTACAAATAAATAAAATGATAAATACATTATTGTGCCATTTATACGTTATGAAAAATAAATGTGCAAAGTTCTTGTTGTTTAGTTTGATTTCAAAGTAATGCAAAACAACAAATCTTACTGTGTATTTTCTGTGATAGTCCACTGTCAATGCCTATCATCATCTTGTAGTGCATTCTTCTCCCCTGAGACTTGGAAATGGTACTTGTGTTAGCAACACAACTGTGAGCTTTGCTACATAATGGCCCTAGCTGTACCATATATTCTTCATAATTGCTCAGTGGCAGATAGCAATGAAAAAGTTATACTTCTGTTTTACCTTTTCTGCCCTTGTCTAAAAATAAAAGTTTTTTTTGAATTCATAAGAATGTATTCTTTTGAACAATGAGCAGCATTGATTCAGCTGGGATTTTGTGACATGTGGTTTGATGAAGATGATGAAAATGATGATAATAATATTAATAGTTGTTGTATTCAGATCTTTCCAAGCATATTAGTAAAACTGATCGTTATGAAATATTTAATATTTGCTTTTCTTTTTTAGCTTCTTTATACAGACAGAAATTTTGTGATCTGTGCACCCACAGGTTCTGGAAAAACTGTAATGTTTGAGCTGGCAATAACCAGATTATTAATCAGGGTGCCAATGCCTTGGTTAAATATTAAAATTGTTTATAGTAAGTATATAGTTGAAGGGCTAATTCCCTTTTTGTTTAGCTTTGAACCCCAATGTCACATCTTACGTTTGCTTTCACCAGCAGGCACGCATTTCGATCTCATGTTTGTTTTGCTGTTGTAATGAGGAATTTGTGAGGTTTCATTAGAATCCAGTTTTGAGTAATCTTTTTAGTCTTATCACTTGAAATACTGCAGCTAGGCTCTTCTGTAATGAAACCTACTAATTGTTAACAGCAAAAATTATGAAAATATTTTGATTGTTTCCTTGAGGGTTACCTTTTTATGCAGAATGAAGTGATGGTGAAATGGGCCTAATGTACTTTCTTATGAAAACCAATGGAAAGATAGTATAGTTAACCCTTCATGTGCAGGTTTGACTTTTGTTGATTTGAGTATTCATGGAGTTATTAATACATTCTTTCTAGAGATCACACAAGGCATTTTTGCATGTTTTGCTGCTTTTATTCGCAGCAAGGACGGGGCAAAAGGGCCACGTGAAGAGGTCACAAAACTCTCCGTGTACTCCAGTATGTTTCAATAGTACACTTCTGCCATGGAATTATTTATTCATTATAGAATGAATGCAGTTGGACAGCACTTTACCTGCCATGGCGAATTGCTGTGGAATCATGGGAGCTGTAGCCTTTTCTGCCAAAGAGTGCTGGTGCTTTCCCAAACTTACATCCTCCAGGAATTCATAGCACTGAGCCATGGCTGTTAAAGTGGTGTCAAACTGCATTCATTCTACAGTGTAGAAGATGCATGCCAAGAGATTTCTAATCAGATGTTCTCCTATTTAATAAAATGTAATTTGCAGTTTTCCTACTTACGTGAGAGTCCTGTACTCCTAAGCCAACAAATTTGTATATTAGTTCCTCGATAAGCATATTTTTTGTCATTTGTCTGCATATAGGCCAAGAAAATGAAAGGGTTTTGGATCTGACACAAGACTTTTCCCAATTCACCTCAGGTATAAGATTTCCCATTTGGCATTAGCAGAAAAGCAGTGACAATGAATCTTGCCAAAACTAGACTGAGGTCTCTTTCAGGAGACTTTTTTTTTTCATGTGTTGGGGAATGTTTATGGGTGGAGAAAAAATGGTCTGCACTGCACCAGTGGTCCTTCAATCATCCTTTTCAGCAACTTGGGATTTTTCACTTATTTTAGGAATTATCACAAAATTTGTATGAATCATGAATGTTATATTTACTTGCCAGGCTCAAAAACCTAGGGATGTAGCATGTAGCGGATACTGTCAAGATCTCATAGTTCAAAGAAGTTCAATGAACTATTAAAATAATATAGCAGTGTAGTTTTAAGACCAGGTGAGACAATACAGGAAGGAATGGCAATCTTAAGATATAAAGAAACAAAATAGAGTTTCACATAAAAACCTGGTGATTGTAAACTACTTATTTGGAGACCTCTTTAAACATGGCTCATTTCCCCCTGCTATTCTGAAATGTTTTTAGTGGCTCCAATAAAAGCTCTCTGCAGTCAACGTTTTGATGACTGGAAAGAAAAATTTGGGCCCATTGGACTCATCTGTAAGGAACTAACAGGAGACACCGCTATGGATGATTTATTTGAAATACAGCATGCTCACATTATTTTGACTACACCAGTAGGTTTCACAATACAACTACTTTTTTGTTTTGAGAAGTTGACTACACAGTACAAAATGTAATTTCATGCAGTTCCTGTTGCTTGTTCATTAGTTAAATTTATCATTAGTTTCTAATTCTGGGAAATGACAGGACAATTTCAATATCTCTTGAAAAAATATAGCAATGTATTTACAAATTTATAACTTGTCAATCTTAGAATTCTGTGAATGTGTGTAATGTCGAATGACAATTTTTCCCTTATGCCTTGCACAGTGATAACAGATTCCAAAAAAGAAAAAAAAATCTTGGTGCCCTGGTTTTTAGGTCTGTTCTTGGAGTTATTTCAGACATTCATTGCATTGGATAGACCGCATCAGCTATAGTGCCTCAGATATGGTTATCATTATTTTCTATGGGTGACCGGACGAAAAGTGGCATATGGCTTATGTTCTGTATCTCAAAAACAAGAGCTGGTAGGGAAAAACTGGTGCCAATTTTTGGAATCAACATATCAAATCTTTCCAGAAACGGGGCTAACATTTGAGGCACCAAAATGTTGGCCAGTGTAATGTAATTTATACAGAAACTGATTTGAAAAAGTCAGAGAAACATCCAAATACACATTTTGATGGATTACATGCTCTGAGAAATTTTTGGATTTGTTTTATATTATTCTTGTATAAAAATGGTCTTATCTTGGAAAAGGAGCCTATGGGGGATATATTTTTACTTAACTATTAGAAATGCAATTGGTATAAATGATTATAATAGATATCACCAATATTTTACAAAGTTCTGTTAAACCTATTGTAGGAATGGCAGTGGTGGATTGCACCATTAATGATAGTATTTTTTTTCCACTAGGAAAAGTGGGATAGCATGACCAGAAAGTGGAGAGATAACTCCTTAGTTCAGCTAGTAAGATTGATCCTCATTGATGAGGTAAACCAATGCTAACTGATTTAAGAGTGAAAATGTTGAGAGCATGTTGTATTATTTCATGTAGAATTCCATTTAATTCCATAGGTTCATGTTGTGAAAGATGAGAGCCGAGGTGCTACACTTGAGGTTGTGGTCAGCCGGATGAAGACTGTTCAATCCTTTCTTTCATGTGTCTCTGAGAGTTCTGACTCAGTGCATTCAATGAGATTTGTGGCAGTTTCTGCAACAATCCCAAATGCAGAAGATGTAAGGAATTTTATTGAATATTCATTTCTGGACTTCAAATGAATTATTCTGTCCAATCTGTGCCTGTCTGTTTATCTGTCTGAATGCTTTTCTGTCTCTTTATGTCTCTCTCTCACTCACCTCACAAGTTGAGGCAAAAAAGGAAACTGTTAACATCTGTCTATTGATTTCATTGATGTGACAGTTTAATTGAATTAAAGTCTATCAAAGCTGTACACTTTGGTGCTCTCCAGTTTATTAATCACCACTTACACAACACAGATAAAACATACAGTCCCGGCAACCTAATTTGTTAGTTGCAAAATGTATTGATGTGTTATAGCTCATTACTAGACCTTGAGTGCTGAAGGTTCCAGATTCAGTACTTTGCATCATCCCTTAAAAGAAGCAACTCAGCATTAGAAAAGATCTATTCCCAAGTTCTTGTAGAAAAATAATACTCACACAATACGAATTTGCTATTGGGGACTGTAAAAAAATCTGTAGTTTGCATATTTTTAATGTAATTTGATCTAGGTGAGTATTTTTTCCTACTAGGGGCTGGGATTAGAGGTTCTAGAATTTGTGGCAGAAAACTGATACTCCATGTGTAATTCTTACTGAAAAAACTCAAAGCAAAAGATGCTTTGTCTGACTTTGCTGTCAAAACTGTCTTTCTCTTTCCCAATACCAAAATAAATATTTTGGTATTGGAAAAGATAAGAGCAAGGTAGCTTGGGAAATTCAAGTAAAAACAAACTCAGCCCAATCCTCTTTGTGGGGATGCGCTTTCCATTCTCCCCTTTCCACTTTGTGAATGGTAGAACTTAGCATGAAATCACCTTCACTGTGGGCCAAAAGTTACAGATGGTTTGGGCTGTCCCTTCTTCACCTGAGACTGCTTCTGTCTGTTGAATCAGATCTGGGGAGTTCTAAGGGGATGTTCTGTGTATAAAAAGAGTGCAGTGTGGGATAGTTAGCAACTTTTTGCTTGTTTTTTTGTCTATGCCTTTAGCAGTACATACATTTTTGGAAGTACGTTTTATGAAATCCTGTCAAGCCTGCCAGCCATCAATACTGTTAAGGGAAATGCCAAAGGGAGCTTGTGTTTTACGTTTTCATGCCTTGTGGCTATTTCTTCAAATCGATCCTCAGCTTTACTTTAGAATACCATGTTAACTTGGACTTCCTTAGATAAATTATAAATTGATTATGAACATGTACCACGGGAGGTTTTATTCCCCCTTTGTAATTGGCCTACCTATACATCTTTTGTGCCTACATAATGCTACAATTCTTAGTTCACTTTAAATGTTGAAGTTTTGTTTTAGTTCTTTCATGTGGACATTGAGAGGTATGGTCCACACAGGGAGCTGATCAAACCTCTCCTGAAATATTTTATATAGCTCTGTAGTATCCCAAAAATAATAACTGGGACTAACTGGGGCTGGTTACAGGGAGCGGACATCCCCCTTGTTGCAGCAGCACCACTAGTTGCCAGTTTGTTTCTGGGCATAATTCATAGTGCTTGTTATGACCTATAAAGTCCTATGCAGCTTAGGTCCACCCTTTTTGGCTGATCACATCTCCTTGTACAAACCTGCCTGGGCCCTGAGATCTCCAGGAGAAGCCCTTCTCTTGTTTCCCCCTCCATTGCAAGTTTGGTTGGTGGGAACGATAGAGCAGCCTCCTCTCTCTATGGCTGCCCCTCCCACTCTGGAAATCCCTTCTTCCCAGGGAAGCCAGAATGACCCTCTCCCTGCTGTCTTTCCAGTGGCAGGCTAAAACCTTTTTATTCAGACAGGCTTTTAAAGAAGGAGATTTTAAAGATCAAGTCAGAATGTGCTGTGGTTTTAGCTATGAATAGTTTTAATCCATTTTAAGGGTTTTTAATACTGTTAATATTAAATTTTATTTTAATGTTCATATTTTTAGGTTTTAAATTATATTGTATCAGTTTTATTGTGAATTGCTTTGGGTCTCTTTTTTAGAGAGCTAAAGTGGGATTCAAATCCTACTGATAGTAGTAGTATGGGTGGGTTTGGGGGGAATGTGAGTTTCTAATAATAATAATAATAATAATAATAATAATAATAATAATAATAGTTTTTGTTCTTGTCCATCTGTTCTCATTGTTCGAGGCAGGTTACAGCATTACTAAAGAAACACAGAATCATTTTAAAACACTCCATAAAATACATATATTTAAACGTATTTCCACAAAACAAAAATTAGTCATATAGTGTTAAAATTCATCATTAAAACTCTCTAGGTAACCCTGCCAGAAGAGATAGGTCTCCACTTGTATATTAAATTCTGACAGCTGATCCAGCTGTTGGAGCTCTACTGGTAGGTCGTCCCACGGTTGTGGAGAAGCTGATGAAAAAGTCCTCTGAGTGGTGGTTGCCAGTTGGATTTTGTCTAGTTGGAGTAACTGCCCCTAGAGGACCTAAGTGTGTGGGGCTGATTGTATGGGAGAAGATAACCTGGACAGAAACCATGTAGGCCTTTAAAGGTCAAAACCAGCACCTTGTAATTTGCCCAGAAAGTAATTGACAGCCAGTGGAGTGACTTTAACATAGGTGTAATATGTTTACTCCTAGATGTTGCCGATGTTAAATGTCATTTTAGTATATTTACTGTATTTTAATTTTGTTTTTATCACCCTGCTACTATTTAATTGCTTTTAAACTTTTCTATCACACCCTTTAAATTTGTGAAGTGTTAGCCGCCTTGAGTCCTCACAGGGAGAAAGGCAGGGTATAAAGATAATAACAACAACAACAACCATCATCATCATCATCATCATCATCATCAGACTTTGTAGCTCCATGTTAACTTCCTTTTTCCCCTCATAACACTGACCATCATATTACAAATAAATACTGGAAACCAAGTTGTATATCTTGCAGAGAAGGGCAATGTTAATTCAACTTGTCTCTTTTCCATACTGTTCAAATTTCTACTGGTTCCATGCAAGACAATATTGAGCTATATGGACCAGTTCAGTGTGAGGTGGCTACATATGTTCCCATTGATCATTTCTGAAATTTGGTGGGCACTGAAGGCCAAAATATATCAGTGCTGCTCATCACTAAGACTGTTTTTATAATGTAAATGTGCGAATAGACATAGATTATGTGCTCTAGCTTGTAATCAGATCCACTAAGCACGGTACTATGGAGAAAAATACAGCTTTTTCACTATAAACAAAATCTTTTGTGTGACCATAATGTATAAATGAGCCTTCTTGTAACAGTAGGGAATGTTTATCAAGCAGGTACTCTTTGACTATATGATCTGATCTAAATCGTAGTAACAATACAGAGTGAATATTTTATATTTATAATGGAGAAGAACACACTGAATAACTGATAAGGAAAACCTAAATGTGTTTGTACCAGTGGAGCTTCTGTGGCATACGTGCAACTCCTCTTGAGCAAGTAACTTTCAGGATTTCAGCCCAGGGCAGAATTTCCTCGTTTCAAGTATAAGATATGTTCTTTTCTCTTTAAAGATTGCGGAATGGCTTTCAGATGGCAAGGGGCCTGCTATATGTCTGAAGATAGATGAAAGATACCGACCAGTGAAGCTTCGGAAAGTAGTGCTTGGATTTCCCTGCAGTAGCAACCAAACAGAATTCAAATTTGACTTAACACTTAACTACAAAGTAGCTAGTGTTATTCAAACGTATTCTGAACAAAGGCCGACCCTTGTGGTATATTTTGTTGCTTTCCTCTTATGATTGTAATATTATTCTGTATATTCTAACATTATAAGTACAAACATTGGATTTTTCTTATTTACAGTTCTGTGCCACGAGGAAAGGAGTACAGCAAGCTGCTTCTGTACTAGCTAAAGATGCTAAATTTATTATGAATGTGGAACAGCTAGAAAGGTACTGTTTCATAACATAAGCTTTCCCCTAGTATCTGTCTCTCTCTGTACTCTATGACATATGTGACAAAAGTTATAGACTCTGACAATTTTATATTGGCTTATGTTGAAATCAGTACCACCATGGTTTATAGCTTTTGGGCTGAATAGAAAATGAAGCCTGTTCTGGTATTCCATTTGTCATTCGTAGTAATTCTAGGCATTGATTTCATACATGTTGTTTTTCAGGTGACTTCTTGGAAACTATACTGTGTCAGCACATATGCTTACTGTGGGATTAACATGTTTATACCAGCAGTTGTCTTTGGATATCTCTGTGTTTAAAGTAAATCTTTGCTCTATTAAAATTGCTTCTTAGATATATAGAATAAATATGTGTCTGTAATTTCACAGTGAGCAGATTTAGCATACTGATCAACAACTGAGGTGTGTGCGCTAAATATTAACCTTTGTTTTTGACAAGTCTCTTCACACAAACATCCTTAAAATGACTTCCATCCTGATTAACATCTTTTGTTCTATAAAATACCATTTTTAAACTCTACTTTATGTATGGTTACTTGATCCTGATGCACACACGGCCAGATATAGAGTTTGGCGATCTACATGTATGTTACAATATGGATTCAAAACACAAACACATATATACATACACCTAGTAGGGCAAACTGGGCCACATAAAATCCTTTCCATCCTGATTTCTAATTATATATTACTAAAGGCAGTACCCACGTTATGAACAAGATAGGTTCTATAGGTTTGTTCTTAAGTTTAATTTGTTTGTAAGTTGGAACAGTTATATTTTTAAAGTGTAGCTCCAGGCAAATATATATATATATATATATGCTTTAGATTTGGATAACACAGGGAAGAGTTTACACCCTTGTGGTGTTTGCTTTGCTATCTGTTCCCCTGTTCAGAAAATTTCACCTCACTTTCTGTCCCTGCGATAATTGGAAATTTGACTTGTGGAAACAAGGATTGGTGATAAAGTTTCAGTGGAGACACCTTTTCCCCATGATAACTCTTCAAGGAGTTTATTTCCCTTCTGAGGGGTAGATTCTTTCACTTCCTGTTGTCTCATCTCATTCTTAACTATAAAGTGTTTCTAAGTTGGATGTTTGTAACTTAGGGACTGCCTATACTCTAAAAAAATTACTTTCATCTGGGCATAAAGCTGGGGCAAATCCTTTTGCTTTAAGTATTTTAGTGAATAGTATCAAAAATCACTAAATTTAGCACTAAAATTAGGTATATAAACTTTTTTCATTTTATTATCACAATAAAAGATACACAAAATGTTCTCCCTACTGTCCAAGGAGAAGTTATAACAGATTCTGAACATGTTTTGAATGAAACATACCATCTTATGTGGAGAAATGTAGATTTCTTTGTACAAAACAATGTTAAAAACAAATAATTTTTGCATACAGAAGCCCCCACCCCACTGCTGCAATTTTTATTGTAATTGACCAGTTTTAGAGTGGCTCTCATACAGCCAAGAATGAAGTATCAAACATATATGTAGAGTTTGTTTCCAAAATGTACCAAATTTTTTAAAAAGGAAAGAAAAATGAGAGTTATAGGTGGCAACATATTATTGACTAGGAGTAGAATATTATGTACAGATCAAAACTATCAGAAATTTATCAAATCACTTTGGTACAGGGCTTTGAAAATTGCATTTTATAGCAAAAGAATGCATATTCTCAGCATGTTTTTTTACTCCTGTAAAATTGTTAAAATGAATTTGGTATCTTTTGGAAACAAATCCCACTTATATCTGCTCTGTAAAGGAAAGGCACATACATATTCAGTGACATATGCAGTGAATAGACCTAGGAAAGGGGGAAATGTAGGTGAATGACGTATGGGACAGTAAAAGTAATAAACTATGAAAACTGCAGGGAAAATCATATTGCCAGCCTTTCCTGAATTTTGCAAACAGATTCTTCTTTGCTGACTGAGGTAGAACTTGGTAACATTTGTCACAATCCTATAAACACATCTGTTCACCTTATTGTTAATTCGGCTGCAAAATATTCCATATTGTTACATTCACAAAAAAGTGTTAATACAAAAATCATTAATTTTATTGCTCATTACTCAAAATAAGCAATTAATGGTTTAGATAGAAAAGAGAATGAAAAATACGGGCAAACTTGTCTTTCAGAGATGTAAGTTGAGACTTTACATGTTTGTAATATCTTTCCAATAAGAACTGGGTGCTGTGGTGGAATTTAATGGCCTCTATGAGACTGTATTTGATGTTTTATTAACAGTAACACTTATATTTTATCTTTCTTTTTTGAAGGTTGAAAAAGTGTACCAAGTTGGTAAAAGAAGCCAGACTGAGGGGTATGTAGGATGTGCTAATTGAAAAAAGTTTGTTTGTATATATGGAGCAATATCAGTTGGTTAAAGCATCAAGTCTGAATTTCATTTGTAGAGCTCTTGATCTGTGGAATAGCTTATCATCATGCTGGAGTAGAGGTGTCTGATAGAAAAATCATTGAAGCAGCTTTTAATATGGGAGACATACCAGTTCTTTGTGAGTACAAACATTTTCAAGTTCTGAAGTGTTGGTATTGTATTCTTTCAAAAAATAGTTTTCATTTCTGGAAAGCCAACATGTGAGCATTCCAAAATTATTTTTTTACTCTGGGTATGAATTTAAGAAATATTAATTTGTAGAAATGAACACACTTTCATTTTTCAGTGGGTTCGGTTGCTCCTCCTCATTGCTCTGGTAGACAGGAAATAGACTTTGAAGGAAAGACCACAAGAGGGAGCAATCCCCAAGCTCTTAGTCTAGGTGGGTCCTGCCTCTGCTCCAAGAAGGCTGCATCTAGAGCTCTCTTGTCTCTCTTTCTTTTCTGCTTTCTTCATTTATTATTCTTGGCCACTGCCTTTAAAAGAGAGGGAGTATTTAGATTTAAATTAATCGTTATAAATGCTGCAGAAAACTATAACAAAGTTCCAAAGTTGTATGGTGATTACAAATTATTGTAAATTACACTAGATTATCTTGGACCAGCCTAATCTAGCTCACAAGGTTCTTGGGAGTATGAAATGGTAGAATTCACTGTACGCTGTCCTGAAAGAATACAAATGTGATGACAAAATGACCATACGAAACTACATTTCTCATTAACTAAATAAAGAACTGAAGTTTATGTCTTTTTATTATGATTTTAGAACAAATATATAATATTGTCCAAAGCCACTGAGATAAATATTAAAATCAAGTGTAGCTGAATTTTCACTTTTAGCTTATATTGCCATCCTTCACAGAACACTCAGTTATACTTGTAAAATGTACTTCAAATCATAGCCTAAGATTTTCTGGCAGATAGCATTTCTGTAGGATCAACAGGCCTAGGTTTGTATCTGAAGATCTATTCTTGGACTAGGATCATATTAAATCAAACCATCCATGCAAACCATTTTGCACTGTTGGTACTCAGGCACTAAAGCCTGCAATATTTTTTAACCATCCTGCCTTATTCTGCCAGGAATGCTTTCCCAGTATTCCATGGGATCTCAGCCTTACTGTATGATTTTGGAGCATCAACAGAGCTGGATGATCCTCTCCTTCAATCTCATATTATTTATATATTTGCAAATAATGTCTCATCTGTCATTAGACATTATTTGTCATTTCCAAAGGAGGCTTTCTGCCTCTGAGACACAGGCATTTTTGTAAATAGAAGAACCTATGAAAATCCTGCTGGATCACACCGAATGCTTATGTAGTCTAGTATCTTTCCTCCAACAGCTAACCAGCTACCTATTCACAAAAAGGATATGATGACAATACTAGCAACTGCTATTGGAAGACAAGCTGCTGTTAGTCCCGGGGAATAATATGTAACCATCAGGACTAATAACCATTGACAGCATCCTTCCTTAATTTATACAATTTGTGATTGTTTGATATTTTGGGTGGATCAAGAGTTTTTATTTATTTATTTATTTATTTATTTATTTGCAGTATTTATATACCGCCTTTCTCACCCCTGGGGGGACTCAAAGCACAGTAGCTTGCAGGCAAAGAGGAAGCTTAGGGAATGGATTAAAATTAATATTGAGGGGACTAAACTTTGGATGTCTCCTTTTAAACCATGGGAAGCTATAGTGCCAGTCCACAATAACCAATCCATCCCCCTTCTTGACATTTCTCCCCTTTTCTTGGTCTCATATTACAATGGAGAAAAACTCCCCTCTACCAATTTTCTTCATACCGCATTTAACTTGCTAAATCTGTGACACATTTATCCCCAGATGTTTGCCTTTTTGTCTAAATTAGGAAGTTTCAACATTGTCATGTGTCCTTGTAGAATGGTAATTGTTTTTCTGAGTTTTGGTTGCCCAATGGAGCACATTTTCAAGCTCTACAGTGTTTTTTAGAGATGTAACATCTAGAACTATACAGGCAGTTGCCAAGTTACAAACAAGATAGGTTCTGTAGGTTTGTTCTTAAGTTGAATTTGTTTGTAAGTCAGAACAGCTACATTTTTCAAGTGTAACTCTAGCCATAGATATATATGTACAGTATATACTCTAGTATGACCCGAATATAAGCCGAGGCACCTAATTTTACCCAAAAAACTGGGAAAACTTATTGACTTGAGTATAAACCGAGGGTGGGAAATGCAGCAGCTACTGGTAAATTTCAAAATAAAAACAGATACCAATAAAATTACATTAATTGAGGCATTGGTAGGCTAAATGTTTTTGAATATTTACATAAAAAAGTAATGTAAGATTAAGACTATCCAACTCTGATCAAATCATTTTAACCTTCTTCAATATAAACGTGCATAAGTATCCTTCCAATTATCACCATAGTTTATTTTAACTATATATTTTGAGGGAAATTTTGTGTGTATATGAATAAGGAAAAGTGGGAAAGACTGGCGCGGAGTGAGGAGGAGAGGAAGGAGAGCTGGGTTGTTGTTCAGATGAATGAAGGTCCTGGCAGGAAGGCGTGAGGCTGAAAGAAACTCTTATTTCAACCCCACGCCTTCCAGCCAGGACCCTCACCCAAGTATAAGGCGTGGGGGGGGGGCTTTTCACCCTTAAAAAGGGCAGAAAAACTAGGCTTATACTCAAGTATATACAGTATATATAAGCTTTGGATGGTATATGGAAGTTTACACCCCTGTGGTAGTTTTTCCCCCTTTCTTTGCCCCTGTTCAGATTATTTCACCTCACGTTCTGTCCCCGTAATAATTGGATTTCGGAAAAAAAATTGACTTGTTGGGGAAACACTGATTGGTGATAAAGCCTCAGTAAAAACCTGTTTTCCTCATGATAACTCTTCCAGGAGTGAATTTCCCTTTCTAGGGGTAGATTTCCCTCACTTCCCGCTGCCTCACCACCAGGCATGTAGCCGGGGGGGGGGGGGGCTTGAGGGGCTTCAGCCCCCCCCCCCTGAAATTCTCATGGTGGTTCGTGAAAAGGCCTTACTGGTGCATTATTTAAACTGTTATGTTTATTCATATCATGATCTGATCACCATACTCAATATATCCCATATGCATGGGGGTATTGGGGTAACGATACAAAAGGTTTGCTAGGGTAGACCCTCTTTCACTCAGACCCCCCCCCCAAAAAAAACTCCCCCCCCCCCCCCGAATCGATCGAAATCCTGGCTACGGGCCTGCTCACCACCATCCTTAGTATGAGTCATTTGTAAGTTGGGGACTGCCTGAAAATGGTATTCTAAGTAAGTTTATACAATAAAACTGACATGATGGAATCTTACAGGCAGTGTGAAAGCCAGAGTTTAGATTCTATTTATTCCCATCCATGGAAAAGGGAGCACATTCTGTATGGTTCATGTTTGAGCCTTTCAAAACAATTTCTCTAAAGCTGACCTTTTTAAATGCTTCTAGTTACTACCAGCACTCTTGCTATGGGAGTTAATTTACCAGCACACCTAGTAATTATAAAATCAACAATGCATTATGCTGGAGGAATGTTTCAGGAGTACAGTGAAACTGATATTTTACAAATGATCGGAAGAGCAGGAAGACCTCAAGTAAGTTGTTTTTTTAAAAAAACAATTTAAAAATGAAAGTACTTATAGTTTTTCTGTACTTATAACTGGGGCAAAGATACAAAACTATTAACTAAAACATTCTGTATTTGTATTTGTTTATAAAGTTTTTATTTGCACTGTAGAACTATTTCTGAATAATTAATACAGTCCTATTCATTAGAAAGCCTGTGAAGTTAATACCACAGGCTTGAATTTCCAAGCTGAATGAAATTGTTTTAGAAAATTCGATAGAAAAGACTGTGAATGCTCACACTAAAAAGGCCAAAAACTTTAATCACAGTAGTGTCTGAATTATCTAAATCTTCAGCATTGGAAAACATTAATCCACAGTGCATATTTTAGAAGTCTTTCTTGCTTTCTTTTATATATCTGCAAGAAACAGATTTCATCGATGTTTAAATAAGGCCCTGAGCCCATTTTTATGAGAAGACTAGGAACAGTTTCAGATGGAAAGAGTAATGAAAGTCACATACCTTGGCACTGTAAAGTGCTAAGGCATAATTATAGGAAATTGGCTAAGCCTTCTCTTATGGTGTACAACCAGATATAATTATGCAAGGCAATGATTTCAGTTGTTAGACTGAATAACCTGTTACCTCTGTTAGGAAAACGGAGATTTTGTGAGTGCATAAAAACAGCAGAGCTTTAGAAGTTTTTTTCAGTAGCCAAAAATATATACTCTCCCATAAATCAACTTGTTTTATATTGTGCACTCAAGAGACAAAAATGAAGTAGACTCTGATAAAAAAATAACATATTTGATTTACTCACAACCTTCATGTGTTCAGCAGGTACAAAACTTATCAGTCCAGTTTTAGATATGTTTGAGATGATTTTCTGTGCCATATAGCCAGGACATCTCTTTTATAACAAAACAGCTATCAACAGGGGAGAGAAAGAAAGAAAGAAAGAAAGAGAGAGAGAGAGAGAGAGAGAGAATGAATGTGGTCTGCAGCCCCTTTTATAACTTCTCAGAAAGCATAAAGGAAGCTGCACACCAGAACATACATACCGTATATTCCGGCATATAAGATGACTGGGCTTATAAGACGACCCCCAACTTTTCCAGTTAAAATATAGAGTTTGGGATATACTCACTGTATAAGACTACCCCTCTTCCAACGCACACCAAATAAAATTTTTAAAAGCATCAGATTTGATTTCAATATGGCAATTTTCCTATTACTGTACCTCCTCCTCTGCCTCACAGATCTCGCACCTGCGCCACTTCACTGCAGTCTTCAGGAGCGAGATCTGAGAAGCAGAGGAGGAGGTATGGTAATAGGATATAAGGATGGGCCAGACAGGTAAAAGAGTTGTGTTTTTCTGGACCCAGAGCCACTCTATCTCTTTTTTCCATACACCGGGCACCCCGGACGCCTACAGCTTGCTTCGCCCTTCATTTACACCTTCCCGGTGAGGCGCCCTTTCACCTCACCATCGGGACCGCATTAAGTCCACGAATCCTGATGAATGGATTTTCTTCTACCATACTTGTACAGCGTCACCCTTAGTGCTTTCATACAGTCGCTGCATATGGCAGGGACGTGGCCACTGCCATTTTTGAGCTTTCCCCACAATATGCAGCAACCACAGATTCTCCAATACGGATTGGAAGTTTCAGCACCTGCTCTATAAGATGACTCCTGGGGTGTAATACTACTCCCGCATATAAGACGACTCCCATGCACAAGGCCACTCCAGCGTATAAGACGACTCCTGTGTATAAGACGACCCCTGCATATAAGACGACCCCCGTGTATAAGATGACCCCCGCGTATAAGATGACCCCTGACTTTTGAGAAGATTTTCTTGGGTTAAAAAGTAGTCTTATATGCCAGAATATACAGTTCATGAAACAGTAAGTAACAGGATAATAGATAAACATTACTAGAGAAAGCTTGAAGAAGCTTGTCATGTCTAACAGTTATAAACCATGATAAATTTAGCATTTTTAATGCAGTAATAATGCTTCCTCTCTCTTCCTTCTTCCCACCCATTAAAGAAATTGCATTTTCCTGGTCTTCATCAGTAATGGGTAATCATTTATATTATTCAGTTCAGATAGATTCTCCCTTCATAATATTACTTCGCAATATAAAAGGTTTTGTTTATATTCCTACAACTTACCCTACAGTTCATGCCTAGCAATTCAAAAGTGAGCTCCATGTTCAAGGCAACTTAGTCCCAAGTAAGTATCTATAGGATACTTTGTTAGGCTTTATATTATTCCTGAGGCTGTTAAGTTCAATATATCAGTTCAGTTTTCATTTAACAATACCTGAAGTTGTACACACTATAATTATTACTGTTGATGATTTTAAAAAAATAATTTACTAAGAAATTTTTATGCCTTGCTTTCAAAGAAACATAAAACAAATCAATATCATCTAACTACATGTTCAAGATCTTTAATTATAACACTTTATCTTATTGCTATTGTTTTTTGTTTTGGTTGCTGCCTTCAAGTTGTTTCCTACTAATGATGACCCTAAAATGAACTCAACATAGGATTTTCTTTGAAAGAGTTGTTCAGAAATGGGTTGCCTTTGTCTCCCCTGAGGCTGAAACAATGTGATGTGTCCATAGTCAAACTTCCTTGTTTTTTGTGTACCATATCGAAATAAGGGAACAGCAGGCGAGGATAGCTCAGCATAAATGTAGTCACTTGGTATCTGTTTTAAAGTGTACCTCTTTATATATATGTATGTAATTTTTTCCAGTTTGATACAACAGCCACAGCAGTTATCATGACAAGGCTAAGTACAAGAGATAAATATGTTCAGATGTTAAATGGTACCGATACAATAGAAAGCAGGTAACCTAAGCCATTTTTCTTTATGCTGTCTGTAACATGTTTGCTTATTGAGAAGAAATTTATCTCCTGGATCATGAAGATAGGCCTGTGGGGAAAGTGAAGGTTGGAAAATCTTTATCTTCCCAGCATGTAGGAGAATACTAATCAGCTAGACAAACAATAATCCATAGCAGTGTTTTCTCTGAACACTTGCAGTAATAGTCTGAGCAGAACAGAAATAAGTTTGCCTTATAATCTTTCATGTCGTTCCATGACTCTAAGTTACAGTATATTGTGTACAGAACAGCAGTGATTAATTTGAAAGAATCAAACAAGAAATTAGATACAAATGACTTCATCTTTTTTTAACCACAACAAAGAGCCTTAATGGAATTGGAAGGAAAGAAGCGTTTAGACAAGGAAGAAATTATTCTTTTCTCCATTCTCTAGCACAGTTACTCTCTAATCCTACTCAGAGACTTTTGTGGCTACTTCTAATTACAAATTAAAACATTGAAAGATCTTATCATGGATTTCTCCAAATTTCCTTTGGAATTTTGTGCAATTTATGTAACACACAAACAAATCCATATTAAAAAAATCCAAGTCTGTATTTGCAATCAGTATATTCACATAAAAATCTGGATTAACCCTGGGAACCTAGGGACTATGCTAGTGGCCAGATAAGAAGATGGATGTTGTAAATTTGAACCCCCCATCTCATTTCCAGTCCAATTGTCTCTGGTCAGGCTATTCTGAAGATAAGATTTATTGCTGCTTGTAGATTTTGATATAAAATTATTTGTTTTTTGGTTTCCTTAGCTTGCACATGCATCTTATTGAACACTTAAATGCTGAAATAGTGTTGCACACCATTACTGATGTGAACATAGCTTTAGAATGGATACGATCAACCTTCCTTTATATCAGAGCTTTGAAGAATCCAGCTTATTATGGTTTGTTTATTCTTAAAATTTCTGAATTAAAGCAGATTACAATAAACTACCCCACTTTTTTGACAATTTTGGCAATATTCAGAAGTTACAAGCAGGAGTAGCGAGGTTCTTTTTCTGTAGAGATTTCAGCCTTTAAAATCCCTAAAAACTCTTCTAGCGGGGATTGCTAAATTCATGGCACTTCTCTTTGTTAGATGCCTACAGCAGAGGTTCTTAAAGTATGCTCTGCGGGCCCTTGGGGCTCCACAAAACATATTAAGGGGCTTTGTGCTTCCCTACTTACCCTCCAAGTTTTTCCTTCTCCTTTCTGCTCCTCCCCCTCCCCCCACCTCCCTTGTCATGAAAAGCTTTTTTTTTTCATGGGGATGCTTTCTGCTTTTCCTGTATGGCCGAAGGGAGTTTAAACTGAATGGGGTTGTTCCTATTATTATTATTGTTATTATCATTATCATCATCACCATTACAACAAAGGCTGGGTGGCCATCTGTTGTGGGTGCTTTGATTGTGCTTTTCCTGCATGGAAGAAGGGGGTTGGACTGGATGGGTCCCGGGGTTTTCCACTGAAATACTGTTAAGTTTGTGTTGGTTAAAATTGTCCTTAATTTTAAATATTGTATTATTATTTTTATTTTATTTTATTTTTTGCACTATACGTGCAATATGTATAGGAATTTGTTCTTTTTTAAAAAAAAAAAATTACGGTATGTAATTTACACAAACACTTTCTTTTCATCTGCCACTGGTTCATCCCGTCTGTCAAATTTTAAAACACAATGTGTCAAAAAGTTTGCCCATGCCTGATATATATTCATCATATAATATAATTAATATAATATAATATAATATATATTTCTTGGAGCTCCACAAGAAATCTTTGCTTCAAAAAGGACTCTGCAGTTGAAAAAGTCTGAGAACCCCTGATCTACAGCAACTGCCCTTGCTGTATTTTCTTCATTAGTAAGGTTTTTGCATATTGATGTCCCACAATACAGAAGTGTCAAAAGCACACTGGAATATGATACTGCCCACATATTTCTTTCTGTAGTCAATATTAAGTTGTACACCTGCTGTTGATAGAAAAGCAGCTCTAGCGAATTGAATATTGTCGGGTATTTCTGAGATTTTATGTTAAATAGACTTGCTTTCATAGAGGATCAAATGACAGCATTAAAATTCAGAAAAGCATTTCATATCAAGAGAAAAGGGATCTATTTTTCTCCCCAAAGGCAGAGTTTCTGCTTCTGCACTGATCCTTCTTGCTGTCAACACCACAGCACAAGGCATTTCAGGGTGTTCAGCACAGTAGGATCTCTCTGTACATGGAACAGCTGCTTTTCAGAGCTGTGAAACAAAGGAAAGAAGTGGTAAACGGAATAGTTATTTTGCTGAAATGCCCTTAAATGCTAACAGTTAGGACATTTAGCACCTTTCTCTACATCTGTTTTCACACTGACTTTGATTTTTAAAGGTACATTCAAAACCATTGTATTGGTAAATGGGAGTATGTTTACAACAATAAATCTTGTCCTATCCAAAATCAAGGTACATATTTGTTCTATCTCAAAATCAGCAGGGCAAAGACCAATATCAATACATTCACCCTTTTCAACTTTCTTATTTAGTAGAAAAAGAAAACAATTTCATTATTGGGATGCAAAAGAAGTGGAGAGATGGCAGGTGCTGAAGGCATTCTAAATTAGGAAAACTAGTTAGGTGTGCTTTTCTGTCTCTCAGTTTCCACCCTGCACTATGATCTTAGCTCATCAGTGAACAGAGTATGATTGTAGATGTCATTACCTTTTGCATGTTGACACAGGAAGGACAGTTTCAGAACTAATAGTAGGAATCCCTCCATCCTGAGATCCCTCTAGTTCCCTTCTGCCCAATTTTGGATGCTAATGCAGATTGATATGGAGCAAGCAACAATTCATTTGGCCCTAAGGACAGTGAGTAACTTGTAACTGGCTATGTTTTAGACAGATCTAATCCCTTAGCTGGTCAGCAGTCTAATATAACATAGATTTGCAATAATGTAGGAGAAACATTATTTGTCTCTTCATTCTGTTATAAAGTTTAGTCTTCCTATATGAGCTGTTTGATTCCAAAGCTTCTCTCACAGGATGTCAAGGCTTCTCTTGCTGATCTTTCCAAGCTCGGGCCATTTTATATTATGTCTGGGCTTTTCTATGATAATTAGGTAATCAAAGCTGGACCCTGGAAAATGCTGACTTGTTAATTTTTTTCTGATTTTGGGACACTTATGGCCAGTTTACTATCCAAAGAATAGACAGTCATCCAGATATATGAAACTACAGCTCCCCTAATAAAGTGGTCACTTCAAGGAAATATTATTGGAGAAATTCGAGGGGTCTGCTAAGATCTTATTCTGAAAATAATAGCAGCAAGACAAAATGGGACAAGAGTTCTTGAAGAATCCATGGCCATATTGAATGTTTGGAAAGCAAATATCAACATTAACTGTGATGGCATGCCTGAGCCTTTGGGAAAAACTATAGTGTCTGGCTTTACTCCGGGCTATCTGTATACCTTCTGTTAAGATTAAGACCTTTAACACACAGAGACACTTTATGCAAGATGAAAAGAGTATCAAAATGAATTTACTGAAAACAAGATGAATAAAGGGTTAACTCCTTCCAGGACTATTATAAGATAACTTAATACATTACAAAAGGAGATTTTGCTGGTTGCAGTCATCTCTCTGGAGTCTTTGAAAGTCTCCTGCCTCTGGTGCAGAGCAATGGTTTACAAGCTGGTGCTTATAAATTGTCTCAATCTTCTTCTCTGTGAAACTTAAGCTGGTGAAAACTTCTGTTGTCTCTTGGATTGGTGGTATATGAATACTGGCTGAATGCAGGTGCTAAGGATGTCTGTTTTGGATTGCTTGGGCCTAGGATTACCAGACAATGCTCAAGCCTCTGGTCACTTTAGCTCTGCTGCAGAAAAAAAAGGAGGAGTCCAGCAAGAGAGCTCTATACAGGCAAATGGAATAGACCAACTAAGGCTGGCCCTTAGGAGGTTTTCATGTTTCACCCAAAAACTAATACAAAGGAAGGTATCTAAACTATTGGAAAAACCTATAAACAGGGGGAACTAAATCAGAGGAGAGGATAAGGCAAAACCAAGACTTCACCTTAACATAGACTGGAAGTTTGAATGACCATGCGCTTTTCTTACTACTGATTCTGCACAAGCTTCAATTTATCTGAATAATGATAGATATAGGTCTTGGATATGTTGATGAACTGGTCTGCTAATTAGGGACCAATTAGTCTTTTACGTATCCTCAGAAAATTGTATGCTGGTCATCTCTATCAAAATGGATGGAGGAAGAAAATATTTTTATAATAACATATAGTACAGGTATCCCCCATCTTTTGTCACTTTGCTTTTCAACAATCTGCTCTAATGACTTTGCTCCCCGATACCATGCCTTTAATCACTTTTGGCCACATATTGAATGAATAGGTTCCAATTATGGATAATTTAAAAGAATCAGTTGCTGCAGTTACTACTAGCTTTCCAAACATTTCCATATGTGTCACACACATTTTGGTTAAACAACCCCTTGTTAGAGATATGGGCACATACTTAAATTGTAATAACGAAATCTATGGGGTCACAATGCACATCATGAAAACCTCTCATTTATATATTTATAAATATTTGTTTCTGAAGACATTTATATTTAATATTGTGTTTTAATGCACTGCATTTTGCTTTATCTGTTCTATATAACTCCTTTTTCCTACTAGTCTTTGACTGAAATAAATATATATGTATTGGTGATATATGTTGATTTTTCCAAATGAAATTGTAATCTAGACTGAGTTCAGATTTCTCTTGAGATCATGCTGAGTCGATCAAAATACACACTTGCTAGAGATTTGACCTTATGATGAAGCATGACTATACAATCCACACCAACCCACATATTAAGGATAATATATGACAAAAGCTAGGAGCCAGATCTTTTTGAGTAGATTCACTGATGACAGTTAAATTGGAGTCCATTGGCCCTTAAGGATCCATGGAAATGATTCAAGGTGTCTTGAAACGGGTGCCAAAATCCTGGTATCCTATGTTTCTTATATCTCGAGAGTTATTCCCATATAAACCTAATCAACCTAACACTGTATTCATACATTTGCTTCTCACAGCAAGCTGTTCTCTATATGTGTTCATTATATATATCTTTTGAAATATGATGGCCATTTTTAACCTAAAATGGAATGCACTTATGTAGTAAGCTATTATATTAAAAATTAACACACTGATTTGATTATTCTTTTCATGAAGGATTTTCAGCTGGACTAGACAGAAATGGAATTGAAGAAAAGTTGCAAGGTAGGATGTTTTTTGTCTTTTTAAAAAAACAGAATAATGTGTTGTTAAACATATATGTTCACATCTTGTACATTTTAAGCATAGAAGCAGTACTGGTTATATAATGGCAAAGATTGTTTACTTGATTATGATGATACCCAGAACTGATTTGCCTTTGTGTGATAGCTTTTCCATCTTATGCAAATTAAAAATAATTTATCATGAAGTAAATATGTCAGTTTAGATTCCATTTCAGTACTATAGTGAATGTATAAAATGGAAGCCCATCAATCATTTTAAATAGTGAAAATAAGTTCTCCAGGCCAGTTGGTATTTTAGTGTGTTCATGAAAATTTGAACATATCCTAGCTCATTTCTAATTTTCTGAGCTCGCTGATAGTATATTAATGATTCAAGGCACATTCCACAAATACTTGTTGTTGTTCATTCGTTCAGTCGTTTCCGACTCTTCGTGACCTCATGGACCAGCCCATGCCAGAGCTCCCTGTCGGCCATCACCACCCCCAGCTCCTTCAAGGTCAGTCCAGTCACTTCAAGGATGCCATCCATCCATCTTGCCCTTGGTCGGCCCCTCTTCCTTTTACCTTCCACTTTCCCCAAAATAATTGTCTCCTCATGATGTGGCCAAAGTACTTCAACTTTGTCTTTAGTATCCTTCCCTCCAATGAGCAGCCGGGCTTTATTTCCTGGAGGATGGACTGGTTGGATCTTCTCGCAGTCCAAGGCACTTTCAGAACTTTCCTCCAACACCACAGTTCAAAAGCATCTATCTTCCTTCGCTCAGCCTTCCCTAAGGTCCACAAATACTAGCATGTTCTAAACTCTGATTAATCTCAACAGAACAATGAAATATGTTTAAATCTTCTCTGACAAATTAATACTTAAAAGTACTTCATTTTAGTCAGATCATGAATTCTGTCATGACATACCTCAATTTTTATATAATATTTTTCTCAAATTATCATTTCAATTTGGACAGAATTATGTTTGAAGAACTTGAATGATTTATCATCATTTGATTTGATCAAGATGGATGAAAAACTCTATTTCAAGCCAACAGGTGACAATTATCATGTTTATACAGTATTACAAGTGTGTATTTTTAAGGTTAGTGCTATGGCCGTTATGCTCTAGATGTCATAGGGATATGTTTTCCGTATTATCTTATAGTTTCCTTGGTAAATGAAGAACATTCTGTTGATAGTGCATTTATGTTCAAAGCATTAACTTTTGGGTGCCTTCAAGTCCTTTCCAATGAATGGATATTCTTGGCAAGATTTGTTCACTGGAGGTTTGGAATTGTATTTCTCTATGGCAGAGAGAAATATTATTTGTTCAAGGTCACCCAGAGGGCTTCCATGGTCAAGCCAGGATTAAAGTCCTAGTCTCCTTTGGTCCTAGTCTAACACTAAAACCACTAGACCATAATAGTCTCTTGCGACCTGATCATACGTGGCAAATTTCGGTGGCAACTCCAGTTGTGCTGCAGCCTTGCCACGGAGCCCACCGGCTCCCACTACACATGGGAGAAGTATTTCTGGGACAGCTCCTGGGTAAAAACTGTGGTGGAACCAGAGTCACCACTGAAAAATGCCGCCAACTGTGACATAGGAGGCTTCCCATGTTGCATTGCCCTCAGTGAGGCAAGCTGGCCGGCAGACGCTTCCTCCCATGTGATGAGGGAGGGGAAAAGCGGGAACACTGAGTTGCAGGGTGATAGGTCCTCACACCTTCTGGGTGGATGCTGCTGGGATTGCCGCACATCGTTATTCTGGTAGCACATGAGACAAGGTAGTATAGCACGAACTAGGAGAGATTTCATGGCTTAACAACAGTCAAGACATACCTTGAGGCAAGATTTAAAAGTCTGTCATTGTAGAACTGTCTCATTGATGCTCATGGCTCTTCTGCACTTTATGGAGCTCAGCCAGAGAGCCAACTACTAAGCAACAAAGATAAAGTGGACATTCCTTCAAAGACAACTGGTGACCACACTGATAGGGTTGTGCAAAATTTTGGAGGTCATTTTGGGATTCAGGTAATTTTGGCAATTGAGAAGGACCTCCTTCAAAGCATTAATAAAACAAAACACAAGTTGACAAATCTTCTGGCTAAATTTAGAAAAGATTTATTAATTTGGACTTCTTTTTTATGATAATATTATTCTGCCACCCTAGGGGCGAAGTGGCTGCTGATGTGATGATTGACAAGAGCAGCTTCACATGGCTTTTTCCCCTCATTAGCCCTGACTAGCCAATCAGAAGAAGAAAGCGGGTCACACAGCATTTTGCATAGCTGGTGGTATATATAGTCACATGGAGGCCCTCCATTTTCTCTGGGTGGTGTGGTGTTGGAGAGAGAGAATGTGTCCTTAGTAGCTCCATTCAGTTTTTTAGTGCCTGCCTGCCTACAGTGTTGACTATTTAGGAGTGCAACTAGCTACTAGCTTTTAGAGAATTCTTTTTCTTTCGACATCATCTACCTTCCTTATCCATTCCAACTTTTATTTTTCAAATTCTGCTAGGGAGGTGTGGGTGGGCATGCATTTGGGCGGGGTCTGTGAGTTTTGAAGAGCATTTAAAATGATTTTATTTTAATCTGCCCCATTGGTGCTAATGGACCGAATTTTACCAAAATGAAAAACAATTCAATCTGTATTGAATTACAGATTGAAATGCCCGCCTCACCTCCAAATGTCCCCAAAATGAAATAAGGGGGCATCAGAATTTCAAAATGAAATCAAAACAGATTTCTGCTGCTTTGCATACCTCTACATAGTGATGCTTGAAGAAAAATACTTTTTAAAGGCCAAATGGTATAGAACTGTGTAGATCATTTAGAGTATAGTGCTGGAGAGCCATTCTGTCTGTCACATGATGCTAAATAAAGTACATGGAGGGCTCCTGTGAGCATGTACTGCTTGAATAACTGCATAGTTGCATTTATTCAAAGATTTTCCTTTTAAAATTAATACAATATTGTTACTAGAGTTTTAGCTAATAGAGTATGCCATTGTTGTTTTCTTGTTATATTTATTTACTGGTGTTTTCAGAGGTCTGCTATTATATAATAAATATATCATGTAGAACAATGAATTTAATGCTATACCTTTCTCAATAAAGTGACCTAACAGTTTTATATAACTTTCTGCAGAGACTGGACGACTAATGGCTTGGTATTATATTGCCTTTGACACCATGAAAAAGTGTTTCATGATTAAAGGAACTGAGACTTTATCTGATCTGGTAATTTCTTTATTTTAAATGTTGTGTTAATATATATGAATTGTAATTTCCGTTAATGTATTTGTTTATATCTTCCAAAAAAAAACCAGTTTCTGTCATAGTTGCATACAGTATTGGTTACTTATCTTAGATCCTCACGCAAGAGGGGAAAGGGTGTTAATGATATCGTGCAGTTTCTTGTGGAGGTCAGTAGAAGAGTCTGTATAGTGTACAGTGCCACAGCATATCAGAAGTTGAATTCTATAATACATGTTAACTTACTTGAAATGTGGTGTTAGAGGACAGTTCCACAAACATGAAAAAGACATAATAAATGGGATATAGAGCAAATCAAAACTGAACTCTCCCTAGATGTCAACATGATGATATAACATGAGTGCATGGTTCATTAGAAAAAGACATCACCTGGCAAAAAACAAGGTATTAGGAAAAGAGGAAGACTAAGGCCCCTTCTACGCTGCCATATAATCCAGATTATCAAAGCAAATAATCCACCTGTAGATTCATATAATCCAGTTCAAAGTAGATAAAGTGGATTATCTGCTTTGATATGGATTATATGAATCTACACTGCATATAATCCAGTTTATATAAAATAATCTGGATTTTATGGCAGTGTAAAAGGGGCCTAAGTATTTCAGCTAGGCTGCAATTAAGAATTGATGCCATTCAACTGAGGAGATCTATTCGGTTGGCTGAGATGTGGGCTAACAGATAGGATAACTTGAGAAAGTGGTGTAAGTAACTTTTACTTATTACTTGTTTGAGAAAGATATGAGAATGTGTTAAGCAGCAAAATAATTTCTTTGGATATGAAGTTGCTATTCTCATATTTCACTCTTTAAATGAAATAATAAGAATAATTATCGTTAATTATGCTGTGGGTATAATTTTTTCATTTTTCTGGTTGTCTCTCACTCGTTCTTTCTCCCCCTTTCCTTATTTGGTGCCTGTGTGTGTATGACTGAACCATTAACCCCCTATAGGGGTTTTGTATCCCTATGACTTTGTATCCCTATTATTTAATTCTTTTCAGTGTCAAACACTATCCATAGAATTATCAAATCATAAAGTTGGAAGGGGCCTATGGCCATTAGTTCCAACATCCCTGTTATATCAAAAAGATGTTGCATCAAAAAGCAAAGACTTGTGTACTGTGACTCAGAAACCAGATTGTAAACCCAGTCTTGATCCTGTTTTGCGATCATAATTTTTAGGGCAAGCAGAAATCATTGGTTGCTGTTTTGATTGTCCATGTAATGACATATATCTCTTAGGGTAGAGGATTCATTTGGCAGTGGTTCCCAATCTTTTTTTGACCAGGGACTACTTGACCAGGGACCACTCTCCAACATTAGTACTAAAAGGGTTATGCATCAATTTTTGGTCAACTTTAGATTCCGTTTGGGGTGCTGATTCTGAAAATTGCTTTGGATAGACCACATCAGCTCTAGTTTCTGATACAGAACATATTCTATGGTCAGCGACAGGGAAGGAGTGGTAGGCGGCACAAAAGGAGCGGAAATAAAATAAAATAAAAAGAGAAGAGGCTCTCAGACCAGATTTTCGTCCTCGCAGTCCACTGCTGGTCCATGGCCCACAGGTTAAGAACCACTGATTTATTCAATGCCAGCCATATGAATATCAACTAAACCAAAATGCCACTTTCTAAATATATAAATATATTTGATTGATCAGGTCATTTTGCTCATTAAGATCTCTTGTTACTGTTGCTTCTTGAAATTTTCAGTTCAGGCTAAAAGAAATGGGAATAAGATTTTTCATCCTGTAGTATTTTTCAATATCTGCCATCCATAACATTTTATCTAATTTCTTGATCATTTTATATCTGGAATAAAGAAAAGAATGAAAGAATGCTTATAAAAAAGGATTTAAGTTTTATAATATAAATTACTAAAATTATACAGCTATCTAATAGCTATCATAATGTATTACCAAACCAAAAAAGGCAAATATATCAATGGCTATCTACATGAACATGGATACACAAACCGTATTAATCTACACACAAATACAAAGCAATTATATGAACCTCACACTCATTGTATTTTGATTTTTAATTCCTTATTACTCTACTCCCTGTAGACAACACTATATAATCACACTTCTGCTTTTGGTAACACTCATTTAATTCATAAATCCTACAGTTGACGATTGCCCCCAGCATTGTTATGAAAAGATGGTAAATAAATTCCAATCTTTCTTGTAGTTTGCCACAGGCATCTCCTTAATCCACCCAGTCAGTTTGTCAGTCTCATCTAGTTCTCAGATTTTCTTGTGTTGGAATTTCTTACCCAGTTTTTAGACCTAGCACTGGCAACTGTGGTGAGTTTGGGGGACCACCATGTCTGTATCCCATTCACTACCCAGGATCGCTGCAGGCAAAACCAGATCACTTCTGCTCCCCGCCCCCCCCAAAAAAAACTCTGCATGAGGAGGATGTTGGGCATTTAAAAGTTCTTCATTTACTGTGGGAGACATGTGCCACATGATTATTTCCTTGGAAAGTGTGTGTGTCTGTGTCTGTGTCTGTGTGTGTGTTTTCCAGTAGGCTTAGTCAGGTGGGACATACACATGTGGCCATGCACAATTATAATTTCTAATATAAATTTCTATAAATAAGTTTAAATAACTCTAATGTTGTCAGGCTATTTCAGCATTTTGTCATACTATGTAGAGAACCCAGAAGCTTGGTTTCCTTTGTAGATAGATGGAAACGCACAGATTGCTGTTAAACAACTGCTTCAAACAGTATTAAAATATTTATTCAAATTTAAGGTAATAGGAATTGCAATTAATGACAGAAATTATTTCAGATCACATTGATATCCAGCTGCAGTGAATTTTCAGACATCAAGTTAAGAACAAATGAGAAAAAAACACTTAATGCTTTGAATAAAGACAAGAACAGGATAACTATAAGGTATAAGATGAAATATCAGATTATTCTAAAATTAAATGTAATACTAATTTTAGAGCATTGTTGTCTTGCACGCCATTGTATGTGCTTTTAATATTTATTGACATAAACTCTACCTGCTTAGAACTAATTCACACAGGAGAGCCTCCATGTGGTCAGACACCTATGTCTGACTGTGGCAATGACTTGTTTGAACACGTTTTACAATCAGATGGATTCCATCTCTCTTTCTATGCTGCTGCCCCTCACTCACCCTCCAGTGGTGCAGAAATTTCTCTTGGAGCACCACTGAAATTACCCAACAAAGCAGTTACCGATATGGTGTGATTCTTTGTTTTTCTCTGGCATAAAACAAATCCTCACGTGTGCTGGATGGCAAATGAGTGTGGGAGAGGTGGCAGAGAGAGGAGAAAGAGGACTGGACTCAGACTCACTGACTGATGGAAACAATTTTCAGAATCATCCAGGTGAAGATTTCTGGCCATGTAGAAGTTCTTTTTATCCCTCCTGGAGGAACTGGGATTTTTCACTGATTTTTTTTTCCAGAACTTCCCTACATTTACTTTAAAACTTACTGCACAACATGTGGTCCATCAGTCTAGCCCAACAGCAGTGCATCTTGCTGAGTACTTGATAACTCTGTTGCAGTTTTTCACTTCCAGATGGACAGCAATGGCAGGAGCATTACTGGGTCTCTTGTTCAGAATGGTATATAATGGGAGGGCTGCATTCACTTTGATGAATCACACATTTTTCAATGCTCCTGGGAATTTTTACTGTCTATAAATCACTTTTAACGGAAGAAAAAGGTCTGCTATGCTAAAGCTGCTTACTTCATAGTAAGCCAGTTTAACTTGCGGGGTATACTACTGAGAAGACATATACAAAACTGTGCCCTAAGTCTCCTTTTTTAATTGGGGTTTTAAAACATTGAACTGGGAATATCTTTCTAGGCCAGGTGAATAAAAATACTATGGTGCATTCTTCTATACAGATATCCAATGGAAGGGAAAATAAGAACAAGAGAAATGAAAGTGAACTGGTAAGCCTTTTGCACAATTTTGAACAAAAGATGCTGAACTAGCCTAATCAATTAATCATTCAGGATGTTTTCTGGCCATTCCATACTCACTGGATTTAATTCTAAATTTGATTTCTTTCTGCTTCAGTATATTTTTAATTTGGTTCTTTCAAAAAATTTAATAATGTGTTATTTCTTATTTCAGTCTCATTCAGTCACAGCTAGGATGCTTTCCCATTCAAGATTTCACTTTGACACAAGATATAGGCAAGATTTTCAGAAGTGGTACAAGACTTACAAAATGTATGGTTAAATTTACATTTTCTTGCATTTAAACTATTTAATAATAGTATGTGCTACAAACAGTTTTTTAAAAGGCACTTGCTTGTTTTTTTCTTGTCTAGGGTTGTCGGAATTTCTGGCTTCTCGTGAATACCACTTTTCAGCCTTATTAAATTCTTTGATTTTAGCAAAGTGCTTCAAATGTAGACTTTGGGAAAACTCATTATATGTATCTATACAGCTTGAAAAAATTGGTGCGTATTATAGTCCAAAGGAAAGTATGAGTTGTCTTTCTAATACAATACATTTTAAATAAGTAAATTCTAAGCATTTTGGATGAAATTCAACTGACACACATAATGAATACCATTGGTAGAATGAAATTCCTTCTAATATGCCACAATCTGCACAGAGGAATTGTTGGGCCCTTTTGGGTAGATTTGGATGCAGGGGGAGTACAGAGGGAAGATAAATTATGTTGTTGAATAGCCAACCATTCATTCAACATTGGATGCATTGGACATTGGTGATATTTAAAACAATTGTTTGTTAGAATCAAGTAGAAAAGGAGCACATAATTAATCCCATCAACACATGGTAGGGTGAGCCACTTTGAACAAAGTGGACTTTCCCAACCAAGCTACTTTGAATTAAATGGAACTTCCACTTCCATAATAGTAATTATTCCCTGAACTAAAAGTGGGCTTTGTTTTTTTACCAGAGTTAGTAGGAAGCCCACAGACACATTCAACTTTGAAATATGAGAGCAGCACAGACATCATGCCAACATCTTGGCAATAAATCTGTGTTAAGTTTGCCCAGGTTGCAATACAGAAGCCTATTTCAAAACCTTCATACTTTGATAATGGACACCAACTGATGATGTAAAAAATTCCTATAATTCTTTTGTATTTAATATGTATATTTTGTATAATTTCCAACAGGTGTGATGCTGTCAAGTGCAATGATGAACGCAGGCTTGACATCATTTAAAAAAATTGAAGATACGAATCCAAGAGAACTTGAAATGGTATTTATTTTCCAGTTTCCGTATTTTGTAGCTACATTAAGGTCTGTGATCTACAACAATATTCATGGATTCTGATACTTAGCCTTCTCATTTTTTATTCTAAAATAACATGTCATGCTAGTCTTTAGTGTACAAGTTTTTAAAAGATTTGCATTGATTCATGATTTTAGCAAGTTTTCAAAATAAAAATCATCTTAGGATATAGGCAGAAAGATGGGCAAAGTTCCCTTCTGTTGGAGCAGATATACACAATACACTTTATAGTACTCTTTTACCACTTCTCCCACACCATATCATAATAGTTGGTGGGGGACTGCAGTGGGCTGATGGACCTTAAATTATCCCAATATGATATTTTGTTATTTTGATTGACTTTAGAGAGACAGTCAAAACAGTATACTAGTGAAAATGTCTTTGTCCCCTAGTAAAGTATGTTAATGTGTTTGCAAATAAATGGATGTTTTGAATTAATATGAACTCTATCTGAAATTAAATTCTTAGATTCTGAATAGGCATCCTCCTTTTGGGAGTCAGATTAAAGAAGTGGTAATACATCTTCCAAAATATGAACTCAACGTAGAGCAGGTAAATTACTTGGTTAAAATATTTACCTCCCTCCCACTTTCTTGTCCCCAGAACAAGTATATGAGGAGTGGGTGGGGGAGCAAAAGCAAAATCTCCTGGGACCTAGAGAACTTTCCTATATTATATAAGACTGTTTAAATGCATTGTTTCTCCTGAAATATGTAATACAGAATTATTACAAGGATGTTAAAGATCCATATATCTGTGGTAGTTTCATAAAAGCCAGATGTAGTAGCAGTATCAGAAATAAGAATCCCATAGTGAAAAGTCTTCAGATCATAAATAGGGAAAGTTATCCTGAAGGGTGTTGCCTTGTAAAAGATATATCTGTGCCCCTCTTCTAGTATTTCATTTGTTCCTGTGTCTCCCCATTTAGTTCTTTTCATGTTTGGTATTTACTTAAAAGGAATACAACAAAAACAGATTCAGAAACAGCTCTATATTGAGGGCCCATGCACACTGCCATATAATCCAGATTATCAAAGCAGTTTATACTGTCATATAATCCAGTTCAAAATAGATAACCTGGATCTTATCTTGCAATGTACATGGGACCTGAGCTACCTCTAATAGCTAACTACTGGGAATGCCTGGCTGGAGTAGATATGACTTTTGGTAGACATTTCAAATACTCCAACTACAGATCAACTGTGGAGTAACAATCTTACTCTGCCCATTTAAGTAGTAAAAAGTAAAGGCCTGCCTTTCCTCACTGTGTCTCTGTAGACCCTCAAGTAATACTGTAGAAATATTAGTACCTCTTTCATAGGATCCTGATTCCCTTGTAACAGAACTCAAGACAGACACATACCAAAAGGAGATACAGAGTAGAGTAGTTTTTTAACATAGCAAGTAAAGAATATGTAATGCAGATACTCCTAAGGCTACCTAATCTCTTTGTCACTGAAGTCGAATGTTTAACTTGGCTTTCTTAGGTTTAGTATGAACAATTCATCTCACTGGCATTCTGATGAACTGGGTACGGATATAACAACTAAGCATAGTTCATCATTATGTGAACCAGTCCCGGGCTCACAAATTCCCTTCTTTGCTCAACTGTTCATCGCTAAGGATGTATGAGGGAAGATGATAAGAAGTTGCATTTATTGGTAGCACAAAATTATTATTGATAACTTTGGGCAAAATATTGTGGCAGGAGAGGTTGCTGTCTCCATAATGTTGGCTGTAATACAGGGCCTCTTTACACGGGACCTAAAATGCAGAACTGAACAGGTTAAAAAGAGGTGGTGGTGGCTAATGATGCTAGTGCTAAATTTGCAACGATTCGCAGTAATAGATAAAAAACATGTGTTAAAAAGGTCTACTGATATCCTGATTCTGGTTGAAAACTGCGCATATTCGCGTTACTATATAATCCTGCAGTCATAAAAAACAAGATATTCACATGTACGCATATATGGTCCAGTGCATAAAGGAGTGCTTTTTAAAAAAATAAACAACCTTTTTGCCAGATGTCCCCCACCTGCCCTCTATCATGTTTTGATACAGAGGAAGCTTATGAGGACAGTGGGGAACCCAACCCCGGGAGTAACATGTCTGTGTGGGGACCTCCAGTCACATCCAAGGAATTTTTACCCCCCATTTTAAATGTGGATTTGGCGCTGTCTGGAAGCACCCTGAGTTAACCAGTTTGTTCCAGCTATTGACCTTTTCTCCTCTGAGTGCTTTTTAAAACTATATTCAGTTTTTCTGATATTGGTTTTCTGAGTCTCAGAAGTTCAGAAAAGTAGTATTTATCAGCCTGGACGATCTAGAAGGGTGGTGCAATGGTCTCCCAAGATAGATCTCCTCTAGGTCTTCTCTTGAGTTTTACAGGGCAGGCAACCATTACTGGAGGACATGCCATTATTCTCCACTGAGGCCATAGCAAACATTCAGAATATTTCATTACAATGAATCCAGTATTGTGGTGTGTGATTAATATGGTTCCGGGTGGTAAACAATATCCAAAATTGTAGTTTGATAGTTAAAATTAAAGACAGTGTTGCTTTCAAATAACAATAAAATGTAGTTGTATTAAAATAGAAGTGATTGTTTCCAATCTCTGCCTCAGTAATTCAGAGTTATGTCAGAACACTGCCAATATATGCTAAGTTTGTATTCTTATACCATGTAATATTTGAAAAATAACTGTATTTTAATATGTGATTTATTTTTTCAAGCTGGGAAATTACAGCAAATCAGTAGCTGAAATCCTAGTGACAGTCATATTAACCAACTTTGAACAGCTGCAGACAAAGAGAACCGCCCCAGATTCTCACTATGTAACCTTAATAATAGGAGATGATGATAATCAGGTGGTTTTTAAGCAAAAGATCACGTAAGTATATTAGAATCGCTTAAAAACTTTAAAAATTATACATTGGTGTACATTTAATATCAGTATATTGATACTTTGTAGGGATTCTGCTTTGCTGAAAATTGGAAAATGGACTAAAAAGGTTGAAGTGAGAAGAGCTATTAAGTCTGAGGAGCTTAGCATAAATCTCATCAGCTCTGAATATGGTGAGTTCATTTACATGACAGGGTCTTAAAACAAACTGTATTAATTTCTTAAACACAGGTTCTCTTGCTTTATGCTAAAAAGTGATTTGTGTTCATTTTGCAGTAAAACTATATTCTAGTTTTATTATGTATTGCATAATTATTTATGTGCAAGTATGTGGATGTGTTTATTCCCCACCACCACTACCTATGAATTAGTGTTGACTGTGCAATTCCAATATTCTAATATAATGTCGATATTTATACTAGACAATGGAGGGACATGAACATATGCTAAATAAATTTTCTAAAAACTAGGGTTCCCAACACCCAGGTTGAGAAACACTGATTTACGCAGTAGCTTCACTGGGGATGCTTAGAATGGGATTAAAATTGGCAGTGCATTTCTGTACACAGGAAAAGGAGTGCAAAGCTGCCTCTGTATGCAGAATATCTTGGGACAAATCCACATTATAAGTAGTTAAAGACTCCTGTAGCAGTTGATGGAAGCAACACTGCCTGAAATTCTGTTGTGTCAATGCCTACCATAATGTGAATCAGTGGCATGACTGAGATGTCCTTTGAACGAATGCCATAACATTCACTTGACAAAAAAGATTTAACACATTTCTGCTTCCCATTCAACCTATATTTTAATGGGCTGTAATATAAATGTTATAAAAATGCAATAACTAACCAAGAAATGCAGTAAATGTAATAATAAACTAAATAAGTATTTTTCCTTTATGACAGTTGGATTAGATATTCAGCGGAAATTTAAAGCCCTTTACTTGGGGCCAAAGGTGTTTGGAAAGCAAATGGTGATCAGACATGGGAAGTTAGAAAGTGAATATACATCTGATAACTATCAGGCTTCCGCAGTAAAATCACCAGCAACAAGGATCAATAAAGGCAAGCAATAGTTCTCTACTAAAGTATTGAGTGGGAGGCCTAGCATTCACAATAATTGTACATTAGGCTTGTGCACAGATTTGTTTTGGACATTTCCTTTAGCTGTTTCAGCTTGTTCAGACACCCATAACAACAAGGGCTCCATCACCATGTTTTTTTCGACTGAAACTGACCATGTGTTGCTGGTCGTAGCTATCTTTAGTTTCTATTTGGGATCACATGGTGCACAGAGAGGCTGCCCCGTGCTTGCATGGAGTTTCCCTGTTAGCCCTGTCTGTTTGGCCAATCACAATAGAAGAAAGCTGTGAAGTGTCTTACTCAAGTGGTGTCTATTTAATAGGACAAGTGCCTCCATTGCTCAGTTGTGTCCTGGCTCTAAGGAGAGGTGCTTCGATCGCTGCAGTAAGATTGCCTTGCCGCTCGCTCGCTCGCTTTTAACTTTTGGCTTGGCTCATTGAATCTAATTTTATATTTTTGGTTTTCCTAGCTTTTATTTATTTTCTTTATTTTCCATTTAGAGACTGGGAGTTAGAAAGTATTAGTTGGTCCGCAGTATTTGGGGACTTGGGTGGGTAGGTGTGCTTTTCTTTTAGGGTGGCTTTAAGGGTGGCTCACTCTCAAATCTTACATTTACTAAAGCCTTTGGCTTCTTCTCTTCTCTCCTTATATTTTTCTCTCCTTATATTTTTCTCTTCCCTCCTCTCTTTCAGAAAGTACTTTTAAAATGTTATTAATCTTAATAATAATAAGAATTTTAGCAAACAATAAAAGCCTCATTCTCAGAAAAACTACCTACTTAATACCTTCCTACCTAAACCTACCACCAATAACCAATACCTAATAATTTCTTTCCTTCGCAATCTCATCACAAGTTCTCTGGTGTTTTATTTTAGTTCTCTCTGTGCTCTCTGCCTTCTTTATTTTATTTAATAATAATAATAATTTGGCTGTTGCCTAAAAATAATAAAATGATTGGACTTCTGTGGAAGCTTTGCTAACAGAACCCATCATCTCTATCTTCACTCTAACTCCAACCACCTGTATCAGGAAATAAAATATTATTGTTATTTTTATTTGTATTTATAAAAATTGTACCTTCAAGAATAACTTCCAATTTAAAAAATCACAAAAAAATCAATCTGTTCCTGTTGTGTCCTTCAAGTGTTACCATTTTCATCCTGATAGCCCTAAAAATTACAAGAAGGGGAGGCTTGGGAAGGCCTCCTCACATTGGATCTTGCTGCATTTTTTTGGCTGCAGACTTAAAATGGTTTTTCGGATGGTAGTCGTTTTTTGGGAGGTTCATGAAAAACGGATCGGCGAGTCCACCGAAATTTGGGTATCAAAACTGATCGTGATTCAGCCAAATTACACAAGCCTATGGAACATACTTGTTGGCAAATGCTGGTTTGATGTTACATGGTCTGTGAATTAGTTCTAAAATACTGATTAAGGATAAATGGGTTACATTGACCACATCTCCCTCCATGAACCAGCCCGGGCCCTTCAATCTTCGGGGGAGGCCCTCATTTCGCCCCTGCCAGGCTCATCTTGTGGGCACAAGGGAGAGAGCCTTCTCTGCTGTGGCCCCTCGACTCTGGAACTCATTACCCAGAGAGATTAGGAAAGCCCCTATCTTTGAAACCTTTAAAAAGAACCTTAAAACCTGGCTCTTTCGCTGCACCTTTGGTGAGTAGGTACACAACCTTACACTATTGCTCCCCTCAACATTTCTGTCACTGGAGTACACATCCCCCCCCTCGTGGGAAAGCTTGGTTCTACACCCCGTTTTTATGAGCTCTCCTTTGCAAATAACCTGCTCCTTCTTTTATCTCACCTTGAGTTTTTTTTAACATTTTATCTGCACATGCGGCCTGCCCACTGTCACTGTGATTGTGTTTATTGTAATTTTATATTGCGAATGTATTTTTATGTTTTTAGGTAATTATGGTGTTGTTGCTTGTTGCTCTTGTTTTTGGTTTTATTTTGCTATAATCTGTTGGTCAGGCTTGGCCTCATGTAAGCTGCCCCGAGACCCCTTTGGGGGAGATGGTGGCGGGGTATAAATAAAGTTTATTATTATTATTATTATTGAAATAGTTCTAATTGTATAGATAGGTAAACTGCATTTTTTTAAAGAAATGTTTTTATCTACTGTCGATCCTCTACTTTCATGGGAATTAGGGGAAATGGAAAAATGTAAATATCTCTTGGTCCCAGCCCATGTCTAAGAAGCACAAAAAGTATTATTACTAGCAGGGGGCTGGGCCCAGCCATGCATGTGTTCCCTCAAACTCTCATTCACTCAGGTGGCAGAAGGGGAAGTGAATGAGACAGGGAGAACAGAAAGAGGAAGAAAGGGATCAGTTGCCCTATTCCCTTCTCCTCTCCTGCCCACTTGATCGAGAGAACAGACACCCATGCCCTCCTCCCAGCCCATTCCCTTCCTACTTTCTCCTGCATGAGGAAGCAACCATACATAAATGCTTTTGTCCTGGCCTATCTCCTTCCCTGACCCATGTGAATGAGTGACTAGGAACTTCATCACATGCAAGTTCCTCCCCGTTTTCGCACACTCCTAAACAGTTCATAGATGTAGTACCACAGAGCCTATCATATGACACAGCAGACTTCCGGCTGTCATCAGTGGTGTTTCATCAGTGAATTGTGTCAGAAATGTGGAAAAATGCGGGGGGGGGGGGGGGGGGGGGGTGAAGTTGGGGAGAAATTGTCTTCTGAGCTCCCAATGCAACTGGAAACAGGAGAAACACGTGGGATTGGATCTGTCAGATTCACCCATGTTGAATACTTTCAGTGGCATGGAGGAATTGCCATTCTTAAGAATGGTGTCCTTGGGTCTCCTTTAAACAGAGGCTGGATGGCCATCTGTCAAAAGCACTTTGATTGTGCTTTTCCTGAATGGAAGGGGGTTGGACTAGATGCTCCATATGATCTCTCCCAATTCTATGATCCTAGAGTAATGGGATTAAGAGGGAAAGTAAAGTATCCCAGAAGTGGTGTCTGTCTTAAGAACTGTGCCTTGGGTACCTCTAAGCAGATGGTTGAGGCAGGAGGAGGTGATCCTGTGTGATGGGAGTAGGTAAATTCTCCGTTTTCTTTAAAGCTGGAATCTCTCACACAAGAAGATGATTCCCTCCACTTTCCCCTCTTTTCCCAGATTCATCTGATAAAATTCTAGGTGTGCCCTCTTTCTACCCCACCCCCTTCCCTCTCTTGCCTGTGTAAATAAGTGAATTTTCACATATTTACTTGTCATCTTATCCCCTATCCCCGTCCACCCACAGGAGCATGCTGAGGCCAGCCATTCTGCCAGTAACACTAGTGTTACTGAAGTCCTGTCAAAATAGTGTAGGGCAAAGTGATGTAGAGAAACATATAGCATTATGGAAGAGTTAGTAGATGGGAAGCATTATTTTATTTGTGTTAGCGTTATTTTATTTCTTAAAAGCTACCTTTTCAACAGGCATTTCAATATTTGATGTCTTTTAAATTAAAAAAAGAGGCAGGAAAGAAATTAATAAAGAAAAAGCATACCTTCTTATAGACTAATTCTGACTGTATTTGTTTGAAATTAAATTCTGTTGATTGAAAATGCTATTTATTTGCAAATAGTTTGGGTTTAGGAGTAGAATGTGATTTATAATGAAAAACTGCATTGCAATGGCATTTTCACTGGCATCAGGATATATGTAAGAAATAGCATATTTATGCACTGACTTTTGTTTTTTGACATTTAACTTTCAATGTGTATACAAACAAAGATTATGGATAGTTCCTTTTAGTGATCAGAAGCCTGCAGTAAGTTTATTACTGCTAAGTTTACCTTCCCTGTTGGGTAATTATTTGAAAGGGTAATAGGCAATTGTCTGTGATAAGTATAGTTTCACATTTTCAAGATTTCCTATAATTTCTTCAGTTATCACATGGGTACTGTAACATGTGAACTTTCTCCTTGTTGTGAAGAAAGAATGGAAAAAATAATCAACAAATACTAAAGTCCTGTACTACTTATCCGGAAGAACAGGATTTACTACAGATTAGATATATATTAAATTGTGCTGAAAATTAGTCTCTTCCTCCCATGTCAATAATATACATTTAAATTGTATTTTAATAAATCTTTAGAAGGTACTGGTAGACAAGAGATTGTCAACAGAACGCCTGCAAATCGAAAGTGCAATCATCACTGCAAAAATAAAGATGGATGCGGACATGACTGTTGTAAGTTTTATTCCTTTTCCTGGTGAATTTTCGATGTGAAGTGGCTAGCTTGCAATGAAATAACAAAAAAATTATCCAGTTTGTTCTCTGAGCACAGAATTGTACACACAGTGTACAATTTGTGTGCCTTTAGGAAGAGTGCCTAGTGTGCCTTTAGGAAGAGTGTGTGCCACAAGGAATGTTGTATGGGAAGCAGCACACAGAGAAAAACAGAGGGGAAGCTGAGACAGGGCCACCTTCCAAATGCTTCTAGATTCCTGTACCACAATCCCACACTGTCCATGCTTATATACAGTTTTAGTGGGACAGGTAGTCCTTTAGTGGCTACGAAAGATCCATAATAAAAGGCATTAGTCCTTGGGGAAAAACAAAAAAAAGTCTCTCTCTTCTCCAGGGACAATAATTTCTATAAGGTTGTTTTTCAGAAGACTTGAATGTGTGGTTGAATTACACGTGGCTGTGAAATGTACACATGGTCACAATGGAAATCAGGTGGGGTTGTTCAGATACTGAAAAGCAGCTAACATTTTGGTAATTTATTGTGTGTTCTCGGTTTTTCTAGGTAAAAATCTCTTAAACTATGGTAATACTAGACAAATCTAAAACATAACGTATTATCTTTTTTAAAGGTAAAACTGGAGTTTTACAGAAATATGATACGAAAAGAGAGACAGTGATTTCTTCATATCTTACTGATTTGAGAAACAGGAATGCAGTATCTACTGTTCCTCCAGTCAAACGATTAAAGGTACACAGATACCTCAACTGTTGGCTCTTGAGCTTTGTTTGTAGTTTGTATATTTGTACTCAAAGCATTTGATCAATGAAATGACATCGCTGAGGTCAAACATTTGCAATGAAATAAAGGAACAAGGTCATATTTAATGATTAAAGAATAAGATTAATTTGTAGGTAATGGAAATAATCTCCACAAACCTATTCAAAATAAAGGTTTTTTGTAATCGGAAACTTCTTGCGAGTAATTTTGCTTTGGATAATGCTGGTAGAGCTAGAATCAAAATTCATGGGGAAGTAAAGAGAGCAATATAATTTCCTTACAGTGTGACAGTATGTATGTGTATATGTGTATGTGTAACATTAGTGACACTGACTAATTTGAGTATGGAGGTTTGAGTAGTAAACAAAGGCAGGACATTATATATTTTTATCTCATATAGTTTCAATTAAATTTACTAGATGTATTGTCGAAGGCTTTCATGGCTGGAGTTTTTCAGGCTGCATGGCCCTGTTTGCTTTCAGGAAAAGCTCACAGCAACCCAAATTCACTAGAATTAAAAATGGGGCACTAATGCATTTAGTAAGTTTGGGGAGAACAGCTCTTTGCTTAGTTTAACATTTAAAAAGAATTAGCTTGTATCCATATAACCTTGTCATCTCTTCTTGGTTGGGTTTGTTAAAAGAGCTGTCCCCTTCCTGGAAGATTTTTCTCTTTGTGGAGAAAAAAACCTTGGAAAATTGATAACGGAATGAAATGTGGTTAACAAAGTATAGATTACAACCAGCCTGGGCTTGTTGAAATGCTTGCATAGATGGAAGCTGCTACAGACTAAATTTGTTCATTTAATTTGTATTTTAAAGAAGATTCTACACCTTTTCTACTGTATGAAAACACCTCTCAGAAAGTGGGGAAAAATAATGTTGCGTGTATATGACTTTCCCATTCCTCACAGGTTGTCAGAAATATTTATTTTCTAGTTTTATTTGCACATACATAAAGCAAACCTATTTCATCATATATGTACATTGTAATAATCTCCTGTATTTTAGATGCTGATGTCAAATCAATCTCCAAAAGTGAATCTTAAACATTTTAGTTATACTCCTAAATCTTTTCTTCCAAGATTGCCAAGGTACTATACTACTTTTACAATTGCAGTCTTTTGTCATTCAGATTTCTTCTTCTCTTTATTACTAACAGTCACAATTGTATTTCTTGTGCAAACTTAGTGTACATTTTCAGTTTTCTTGAGATTTTGTTCACTTTTATAAAGGATGGGGTATGCACAAGATTCAGGGTTCACTTTACCAGAAGAGAGAAATAAGGCTGATGTTCATGAAAAATTTCCACAGGAACCTGAAGGTTGCAGATTGGATGGTAAGTTGCTGAGATGTTCTCAGGTTTATTCTCTTGGAGTCTGATCCAGCCACAGTTAAAATTTGCCAGTAATAGGTCTCATCTGAAGAAGATATTTCAGCTGAAGTCAATGGGATGTACCTTTTGACTACATCATGTATCCCTTTTGATATAAATACTTTTAAGATGTTTCCCTGAATCATTTTCTTTGCCTTGGTATTCAGCCAAATTCATCTTCTCCTAGCCCAGTGTTTCTCAACCTTCCTAATGCTGCAACCCCTTAATATAGTTCCTCATGTTGTCGAGCCCCCCAACCATCAAATTATTTTGTTGCTACTTCATAACTGTAATTTTGCTACTGTTATGAATCGTCACATAAATATGTGATATGCAGTATGTATTTTCATTCACTGGACCAAATTTGGCAAAAATACCTGATACGCCCAAATTTGGATACTGGTGGGGTTGAGGGTGGAGGATTGATTTTGTCATTCGGAGTTGTAGTTTCTGAGATTTATAGTTCACCTATAATCAAAGATCATTCTGAAGTCCACCAGTGATGAAATTGAGCCAAATTTGGCATTCAGAATTCCCATGACCTAGAGATAATACTGGAAGGGTTTGGTGGGCATTGACCTTGAGTTTGGAGTTGCAGTTCACCTACATCCAGAGAGCATTGTGGACTCAAACAATGATGGATCTGTACCAAACTCGGCACCAATACTCAATATGCCCAAATTTGAACACTGGTGGAGTTTGGGGAAAATAGACCTTGACATTTGGGAATTGTCATTCCTGGGATTTATAGTTCACTTACAATCAAAGAGAATTCTGAACCCCACTGATAGAATTGACCCAAACTTCCTACACAGAATCTCCACAACCAACAGAAAATACTGTGTTTTCTGATGGTCCTTGCTGACTCCTCTGACACCCCCTCACAACCCCCCAGTATCCCGACCCCTAGGTTGAGAAATGCTGTCCTAGCCAGAAATATAAAGAATGCATGCAAAATTTATCTTCTTTGACAAGAAGGTATTTCCTAACACATCAAGAAAATACTGTATATACTTGAGTATAAGTTGACCTGAATATAAACTGAGGCACCTAATTTTACCACAAAAAACTGAGAAAACTTTTTGACTCGAGTATAAGCCATGGGTGGGAAATGCAGCAGCTACTGGTAAATTTCAAAATAAAAATAGATACCAATAAAATTCCATTAATTGAGGCATCAGTAGGTTAAATGTTTTTGAATATTTACATAAAACTGTAATTTAAGATGAGACTGTCCAACTCTGATTAAACTATTATTCTAACCTTCTTCAATGTAACTGTGCTTACGTATTCTTTCAATAATAATAGAGAGTAAAATAATAATTGTAATAAAAATAATAATAGAGTAAAATAATAAATGCAATACTAATAATAGAGTAAAATAATAATAATAATAATAATAATAATGATAATAATAATAATAATAGAGTAAAATGACCTTGACTTGAGTATAAGTCAAAGGGGGCCTTTTTATGCTCGAGTATATAAGGTAGCTCCTTGCAGATTTTTCACAATTCAGGGATTTAAAAAAGAAAATATGCACAACTAATGTGAGTGAAATTTATTCATGTACAAATTGTTTTCTCTATGCACAAAAAATAGGGGTTTTTTGCTCCTTTTTTAAAAAGCAAAAAAATGTCCTGATTGGCAAATATTATTGAAACATGCAAAAATTCTTAACTAAACTCTTATATAAGAAAAATTCAGTATTTATTCCCTCTTGCATGGAAAATACAGTAAATGAAGATAACAATGATGATGATGATGATGACTATACTAAAATTTTGTTAATTTCCAAGTTAGCCTTTTGATTAGCCTCATGATTTTCAGTGCTGCTTGTAAAGCTTATGAAATCCAAATATGGTTAGTATATTTTTAATAGAAAATATACAGTGAAGTGTCTTACACTTAAATTAACGGCTGTTTCTTTTATAAGTATTGGATTATCTGTTCCTTAAAATAGTGCTGAGCACATTACATTTGAATTTTCATATAAACTGAACATAAATCCTACAGTGTTTTAAAAGACTAGTATATGAAAGTGTGTTGCTTCACTTGTATTCTCATTATACCCAATTACAGGTTTCTTTGTTGGCAAGCAGCCTGCAACTTTAAATGAAAAATTCCATCAGACAATGATTTCAAACAACAATCTCAAAGATTCTTTTATGAACAACTTGACAGATGCAGATAAAAGCAGTGCTTTGTTTTCAAACCCTTTGAAAGTGAACTTTGAATTAGGAAATGAGGTTTGGGATGATTACGATGATGGGAGTTTAGTCCATGCAAGCACTTTTATTGCTGATATGGAAACAACAAAAAAATCAGGTAGAGCATATAACATCAGTTTTCAGTGTAAATCAATTCTTCTTTATTGTCTGTGAAGAATATATAATCCATCTGCAAATTTTCCAGCGACAACCATAATGCACAAAAGATTAAAAAGTGCTTCTAAGATTTGTTTGTTCTATGAAGAAGGTCAAAGAAATGGGCAGAACAGAATGTGAAACAGTTGACATAGATTTTTGATGCCTGCTCATGAAGATGCTTATCAAAATTGTTTCTGTAGTATTTAAGACTATGGCACCAAAGCCTGTCATAGCTACTAGTGATATCCTCTCTTTTATCTATTGAGTCTATTGATATTAACAGAAAGAATTTGGATCCCTTTAGTTGGTTGTGAGTCAGGTGAATGATTCATTTTTTTTCTTTTGAGTACTATACCTTAATGGAGATATCTGATGATGTTGCAGATATATTTGAATTTCATACATAAATTGCTTTGGGCTCTTTTTGTGTTTTAGAATATTCTCATCTGGAAGCTATAAACATGCACAAAAACTCAAGAAAAGCTACCTCTTTCCCCCCAAATACACCACAAAAACCATTTAAAAGGTACGTATAATAGGGTGCATTGGAATAGGAGTCTGGAGACCAGGGTTCAAACCTACTCAACCATGAAAATGACATTGGTGATTTTGGGCATGCCATACTCTCTCAGTCTCGTTGAAAGACAATAGTAAAGCTCCATTGAACAAATCATGTCAAACCCCCACCCCCAATGACGTGTTCACTTTATGGTTGCCATCAGCCAGAAGTGACTTGAAGGCACACAACAACAAATAATATGGTACTAGTCAGATATATAATGTCCAGTGTAGATCAGGATATCCCTAATAAATGTCCTGGAATTAGTTACGGTGGAAGAGTAGGACAACTGGAACTTTTAAAGCGGAGTTGCAATCATTTGGATAGATTCAGTCAAAGAAGCCACAGCTCGGAGTAAGCAACACCTAAACAGGACTGTTGAAGACAGAGTAATTTTTTGGAAATATCTAATTCATAGGGTCATTATACATCAAAACCAATATGATGCTAGTTAAGAACAAACAGTAATCTAGATCACTCAATGTCAACCTCCCAACAACTGCCCAATACTCTGGTTTTGTTCTTCAAGATTCTGTTCAGTGGGCCCTACTCACCTGAAACAGAAAATGCTCCAGGGCAGCCTGGCAGGTGATCAAGAGGCTTTAAAACATCTTGTATTTACCCAGTGACTGATAATTTGGCTAAGGTGATACATAAGCCCAGAAGTTACATAAGCCCAGAAGTTACATAAGTTACATAAGCCCAGAACCGTAATTTGTATTTCTATACAATCTATGCAGTCATCCCTTCACATTTGGTGGGATTAGGGGCACAGAACCCCTGTGAATGTGAAAAACCACTAATAAAGAAATTGCTCCTAAATCTATGTTTTTTTCTACCTGAGGAAAGATCTCTCTAGGAATTTTTAGGTCTTACATCATAAATCTATGGTCATGCTGTTTTTAAATTGTTTTTTAATTGTGTTAGATTTTAGCCTGTTCTTGTAAGCCGCTCCAAACCCCAGGGGAGTGGCGGCATATAAGTTTGAATAATAAATAAATAAATAAATAAATAAATAAATAAATAAATAAATCTTCAACTGGAAACTGAGTATAAAATTGCATTGGAGACCTAGAGATTCCTATAAAAGAACATTTTTAATCAAATTGTGAATAATCATATCCATAAAGCCAAAATTGAAAATGTGAAGTGATAACTGTACTATATTCTCTATTGAGCATAGAAACCAAGTCCTCTCAGGGAGAGAGGGAGGAATATAAATATAATAAAAATATTATATTACTATTATTTAACAGGAACTTTAAGAGAAAATTGTATTTTTGTAGTTTTATGCATTTGTGATACAGACCACAAGAAGACATAAACTTATTCTCATGAGCAATGCTGAGTTATTAGTGAGGACTTACATCATGTTGACTACCAGCCAGTAATGATCTGTATACCTAGACTCTGCCTGAAAATACAACCAATATGTATTCTGTACCACGTTAAACTAGATAAGTGACTAATGTTATTAGTATCACCTGATCTGATATGTTAAGCTAGTTGAAATATATCATGATTCATTATTAACCTACTAGTGTAGTGTAGTAGTTATAGCATTGGACTATGACTCTCGAAACCAAGGGTTGATTCCCTGCTCAGCGCCGAAAACTACTAGATCTCCTTAGGCAAATCACACTCTTTCAGCTTCAGAGCAAGGCGAAGTCAAACTCTCCTCTAAACAAATCTTGCCAAGAAAATCTTAGGGCAGGGTGTCAAATTCATTTTCATTGAGAGCCACATCAACCTTATGGTTGTGTTCAGAAGGCCATTGAATCCATGAATGGAGAATCTGTGGATACAAAGGGCCAACTATATGTATTTTTTAACATAGTGCTTGGTGCTCTTTAGTTTTACCCAGTTTGAGTCCCTGGATGTTACTGATGACAACTTTTGATTATCTGCCATGTAGACTGGGGATAATGGGAATTGCAGCCCAACAGCATTTGTAGCTCTGAAGTTGGAGAAGGGTTAGAGAACATTTTAAATTCAGACATCATGTCCACAAGCCTTGTCTCTCAATTCAAACACCAATATCATGACTAAACAGAACTAACTGCAAGCTTCCAGATGTGACTGTCTCACACTTCTCATCAGCTCTAGTCAAGATGTCAAATGAGGAATACAGGAGTTGTAGTTCAGCATCTGGAGGACCACATAAAATTATATGGCAGGCCACATTTGGCCTGTGGGCTTTGAGTGTGACACATGTGCCTTAGGGTCTCCTTTAACTAGAACAAAAATCTTGTACTATACATAAATTATCTTCAGAAATGTCTCAAATGTGGAGAAACAGAAAAGTGCAAACATATTGTTACAACTAATTAAGATATAAGAATGTATATGTTCAGTGAAATGTTCTGTGAAATGATATTTCTCTCATCATTGCTGTGGTTTACCATCATTTAAAACTATTTGAACTTAAACTTTTTGATTTTTTCTAAGTGTTTATGTGATTTTATTCTCTATTTCTAGCTTTTCTGTATTTAAAGAGAAACCTGAATTCTGCAAACAGAATTCTGATTCCCCAACATTGACTCCCTCATCCAATGTAAATTATCTTGCAGGACATGGATGTGAAAATGTAAGTGAAAATATGTAGATCTGATCAGTCTTGTCAGCCCAAAGTTGTGCTGCATGATGCATGTATTGTAAACATATATTTTGGGTTATGTTTATAATCAATTTCTTCTGTGTTTGTGTAAAGCAGTATAATTAGCCTGTGTATTTTATTTGCTTGACAATATATGTATGGATGAGATTCCATTAAATGTAGATTTTTGGGAGATTGCTCACAAGCTGACCTCCATTAGATAGGGAATTGTCAACCCACAGGTCAAATGTGGTCTGTAGTGCCTTGGAATCCATTCAACCTTCCAAAAATATTTTATTCTCATTCTAATTGTTGCTTTACAAAGGAGCATTTTTAGGATGGTGGCAGCTGGGGACAGAAGGAATGGAGTCCTTTTACATTCTCTTCCCTTTTTGCTACAAGAAGGAGTGGATGGTAGATGAAAGAGAGAGAAAACAGGGATGTCCCACTGCAATATCAGCCCGTCCTCTTTACATTAGATCCACCCCAATATGACTCCAATATTTTTCCTCCAAGAAAATGCAACTCCTGACATTGAAACAAATTATCTAGTGCTGTTCAAAGAGTTATACTCTGCAGTTATTTAAAGAAACAATTTGTATCTTAATCATCTCTAAATTTCTCTGAAGATCTCTCATTCAGTTGTGCTTTAACATTCATTATTTTGAGGGCTAGGTAGAAGTGCAGTCTACATGACAAGGGTTGCTACTATGTCAAGTATTTTGAGAATGATAGTCATGATTCAGTTGAGTCAATACCCCAATGTGATAAAAATTATAGAATGCGCGCACGCACACACACACACAATTCATGGGATTTGTACTCCGCCTTTCCTCAATCAAGGGCCCAAGGCGGCTTGATTGTAAAAATTAAGATTAAGTTAAAATCAGAAATATTAGCAAGTGTTGTTAAAGCCTTATTAAAACCCCAACAAGATAGATAAATCCACCCTGATAATACCTAATGAAGTCAAATGGCCTTCTTAACCTTTGAATATCAAAGATTATTTTTCTTTTTGTTTCACTCTTCCATCATGTTCTCAGGACAAAATAGCACAAAAGTAGCATAAAATAGCATGGCAGTGTATATAAAAGGCTTAGAAAAAGATAACAAGGCATGTAGATAAAGGTTTTCCCTTAACATTAAGTCCAGTCGTGTCCGACTCTGGGGGTTGGTGCTCATCTCCATTTCTAAGCCAAAGAGCCATCGTTCTCCATAGACACCTCCAAGGTCATGTGGCATGCATGACTGCATGGAATGCCGTTACCTTCCTGCCAAAGCGGTACCTATTGATCTCACATTTGCATGTTTTCGAACTGCTAGGTTGGCAGAAGCTGGGGCTGATAGTGGAAGCTCATGCCACTCCCCACAATCCTGGTGATTGTTTCAAGGAGCATGTTCTACAACTGGGTTGCGACAATGAAGAGGAACCTCTCTTTGTTAAATGTTTGGCATTAACAGTGTATAACTTTAGAACATTGTATTAAACAGCAATTTCATTTTACATGGCTGAGATTTTACTGCATCAAGAAGTATACACATGTTGTCTGTCTGCTTTTCTATCTAATCAACACTGCATTTCAGTCAGCTTTCTTAACTGTACAAAAAACTTCTCCACATTTGATTATGAAGAAGGTTGCCAGCATTGTGATTTTGATTCATGGTTCTACAGACCATCATTCTTGACCATCTTAAAATGTGCATGTAATCATGGCACCTTGAAATTAGCATTTGCTTGCTGACACAGACCGCAGCTTTGAATCTTAAACTATGCTTGTATGTTTCCAAACCCCATGCATATAAGTTCTTTAACATATGCTTTTAGGCCTTATACATCATACTTAATTTTCTATATTGCCTCTGATTAAGTCAGTTATTTTGAAACTGACATTGTTTCTTGTGACTTTTGGGTTATAGTTAGGCTTTCAAGAAGAATACAATCCTCCACCAGAGATTAAATGTCCACAGTTTACTACATCCTCGGAAACAGCCTTGAGGTGTAACCAAGTCACAGCAAAGGGGGACTTTTTTATCTGTAACAAAAGAATGACAAAAGAGGCTGATCTCAGGTAATGAAAAAAGATTTGTATAGCTACTTCCAGAGCTTGGTTTTCGGTTTGCATAATGGTATCTAAACAGGTATTCCAGAAAGGTCATATGCTCACAACTAACTGCCTATCTTCCGCTTCCTACATGCAAATAATTGTATTCCACTTTGGTTTAATAAAACTGCATTTTGTGCTTCAGATAAAGTAATCTAATTTTGTGAGATTTGAGATAGTAAATACAATTTTTCTTTTTTTGCTTTCTTTTTTCCCTAGGCATCAGCTTTCTGATGATGATATTAAACCTTTTCTTGGAATATTTGATGGCATTTTCTAATGCCTGTAAAACAGATACATTGCCAGTAACAAGAATAAACCCTCATTTTAAGAAGGAGATCTTCATTCACCAAGTCAGGATTTTCTACTTTTTGATTTATAGCAGTTTATTAATAGTCAATTTTGCTACATAGGCTACACAGTAATAATCGAAATGCTATATGCGTTATATGTGATAGTTAATGTACAATGCATCTTTAATAGATATTTAAATATCTCTGTTTATATGAGGTTGTGGTTTGTAAGGCTGTAGAATATAAGATTCGTTGAAAGCCTTTTATTAAAGAGGATTGCTTTTAGCCCAAGTCATTTGTTTTACTCTGGAAAATAAGATTATCTTTGTAATATGCATCTCATAAGTAAATACATTTTTGAACAACTCTTATGCTACCCATAGAACAATACTTTCTTTGTGGAATTTTTATATTTTGCAGTTATTTACATTTAACTGACTTTATTATACTATACTTTACATGAAACAATGGGATTTGAAAATAAAAAGGAACAAACTTTGTTTGCAGCCACTGTTTTCTTTTACGTGCTTCAACCAGAATGTGTATTCTTATTCATTTCCAGTAACATTGGGTTAGATCCGAAGGTCTTGTCGATGAATGGAAGCTTCTTTTCCATATAGAAGACCTCTTCCATGATCGGAAGGGATCATTCTGTGAGCAGGACTCTTCTTTCATAAACCAAATTTAAATCTTGGATCCAGCCTCATATATTTCCATCATAAGGGGAGAATAGTTTCTGGAATGTTATAAAACCTTGGATACAGGTTACTGTTATTGTTTGAGTAGTTTTAATCTTCATCTGTAGTGCATAAAACAGTTTGCAACATACCAGGCTTTTGCCCCATCATTATGGAATCCATTGATCAATTTAATAAAGATTTAGGGATCCACTGCGAGCAATCTAGAGACTCAGGTTGCATCTACTCTGTAGAATTTATGCAGTTTGATGCCACTTTAGCTGTCATGGCTCCATACTAAAGAATTATGACAGTTGTAGCTTTGCAAGGACTTTAATCCTCTCTTCCAAAGAGTGCTTGTGTCTCACCAAACTACAAATCCCAGGATTCCACTGCATTGAGCTGTGGCAGCTACCAAGGTGTCAAACTGCAATAATTTCATAGTGTAAAAATGCACCCTCAGTATGGTTGTCATTATTTATGTTGTTTGACTTTGGTGGCAGGCTACAATGTCTGCTTGCTCACTAAAATAAAATTAAAAGAATGTAGTCTTTCTACTCTACACTTTGAATAGTTTTTTTTTACTATTGCTGATGACTTTATGGGGGAAAAGTTATTCTCCAAGTTACTTTCTTTTTGCTCTTAAATTAAATCTTGCCCAAGGAGGGGGATTAGTAGTTATTAATGTTTTTATTTCAGTCTTAAAAGGGATTAATTTTCAAAAGATAAGTTCGAGGTTCCTTCTTATAACATTTTCTCTTTGTGTAATATTGCCTTCATTTTTCATATGCTGCTCATCAATAATCTGTCCTGCATACTGTAGGGAATAGCTTCACTTCTTTTTGCAATATATTTTCCACTGTTCTTTGGATTTTAAGAGGCTTTAATTTCCATTTTCAGCCATGGACTAAGGGCACAATCCACAGCAGGTTTCTCTTCAGCTCTACCCCAGATGTTTCAGGGAGGCCTGAATGGAATACTTTTTTCTTAAAGAATTGTGTCCAAGCATATGTGCAGCAAATGTCTTCCATTACTTTAAAGCAAGGGTGAGTAACTGTAGTAACATATTTTTAGGCTGTGTCTCCCATGATCGCCAGCCAACATAGACAGAGTTGAAGTGTCATAAGAACTATAGATGGCAAATATCTGAAAAGCCACAGTTCATTACTTTATGCAAAGGGATCTTGTACCGCCTTAAAGACTAATAGCCTTAGGACATTTCTGGACAGCACCAAAAAATTGCACCGAGGTGGGTTTAAAAAACCCACTTTGGCATGGGTTTTGAGTCCCCACGCCCCCCCCCAAACCCCCAGCTTTCCCGGGGTGTGTGAGGCTAAATGTCATCCTGATCAAAATGAGGAGACAGGAGGGGCAAGAAGGAAAATCCCTCCTCCCCTCCTCTCCTCGCACATCATTTCCTTGCTCCAGGAAGATGCAAGGTGGCCAGGTACTTTTACTTAACTTTTAGGGGTAAATGGGGGGCTTGCGGGGAGGGGTGAGTGCCATCTATAGGAGCCTAAAAGGTTTGTGATGGCAATGGGGACTCACCTCTGGGTAGTTCCAAGATTATCCAGAAGTGAGTCCCCACAGATCCAATACCCTTAATTAGACCCAGGCCTTTGATTCAGGAAGACCCGGATCTAATGAGGCATGAAATTAATTTGGAACAAACCAAAGTTTCAAATTAATGCATTTTTACCAGTGGCATAGTTTGGATTCCTCCGGTAAAAACAGAGAGAGATCCCGGTTTTTGAGCCTGTCTGGGTGGACCCTTAGTCTATGAAAGCACATGCTAGCAACTTTGTTCTGCCCATTAGTCTCTAAGATGCTACAAGATCTCTTTGCCTATTGATATTCGTAGACTAGAGTTCTATGTCTTTGAGTCCCTTACTTTGAGTTATTTTTGCTTTGTTCATGAGAGCATTTTTCTCATAGCAAATCATCACACAGTGTCCTTATTTGCTGTTGACAGTTTCACACTTTCAAAAGTTGTGTTTCATAATACAGAAGTTCTTTCAAGAGCACTGAATCTCTAGGGCAAAATCTGTATTTCACCAGTGAGAAGGCTGAATGTATTTCTTTGTTTTGTTTTTTATCAGCTCACTTGATTTGTCACTTTTGTTTCACATCATTTATTCATGCTATTTTTATGTTTCTTTTAAAGTCTAATTTCCCTTTTAAAAATTTGGGTTGGAATTTTCAATAGGAGCAAAAGCCTTTTTTTCAAAGCAAATTTTAATATTTACATCTACTGTAAATTCTGATTGCTTACTTTTCTGGTTTTGAAGTAATTGTGATACCTGATCAAGATCAAAGGTGATAAAATACCCTCTTAGCATGGCTCCCTAGAAGTATTTAGTTTATGCTGACATGCAATGCTTTCCATAGAAGTTGCTCCAGGAAAATACCCTTTGAAATTAATAAGGCCAATTCTGTGTTCTCAAGTTCCACAAGTTTGACATGCAAGGAAGTACTGTGCTCTGACAAAGAAATGTGTCATAGGTGGAGGTTTTCCTGTAACCATACTGATACTGACTACTGCCATTAATTCTCCAAGTTTTTAAAAAGTTTATTTAGCTGGATGTTGTTGATTTCTATCATGTTTTATTTTTTGCTTGTTTTGATATTTATAAATCCTTTAAAAATATCCAAACATTTATCAAAAGAAATTGAGGTAAATGCCTGGTTCATCGTCTTCATGGGCAGTCCCATCTGCAACAGCATGGACCACTGTGGCCAGGTCTGTCTGTCCATCCAGCCATCTATCATCTATCCAGCCATCTATCTGTCTGTCTATCTATCTATCTATCTATCTATCTATCTATCTATCTATCTATCTATCTATCTATCTATCTATCCAGCTACCTATCTAGCCATCCATCCATCTACTCTCCTCTTTCATCACAAAGGCTCTCAGAACAATTCACAGATAGTTAATTTGACAGTTCCCTGCCTTCATTTGTACTATCTAAATAACTCAGGATACACAAAGAAAAGGAAATTGCAGTGAGGAAGGGGATGACTTTCAGCACATACTCCCTCTTCTCTCCCTCTGAGGCCAGGGCAGTGGCTGTTGGGATGGAAAGAGAGCCTTTCATCAGTTTCTGTGTCCGTGTTTAACAAAATGCCACATAAGCCAGAGATGTCAAACTTGTGGCCCTCCAGATATTCCAACCTCCAACTCCCAGAAGCCCTAGCCGTCTTATCCAGTGGCCAGGAATTCTGGGAGTAAAGTCCAAACGCCTGGATGGCCGCAAGTTTGAAAAGTCTGGATGGACCTTGGATAAAATCCACAGATGCAGAGGGAATTCAAATGAAAAAAAGTAAATAACATTAATCAGTATCCTAACAGGAGTCATTAGCAAAGAGTAGTTAGATGGTAGCACAGGCATTCTGGTATAAATGAGCTGATTAGTTTTCTTTGCCATAGAGATCTTTATCCTGGAGGTCAGGGCAAGGAAGTATCTGGAGGGATTTCCAGCTCGCTCAAAGTATCTTTGAGGATAGTCAGATTTTGAGATTACAAAAGCACAAATGTTGGTTTGTGTAGTTCCCAGTATGTGTCCTTTTTATGTCTTGAGAAGAGAAAGCTACATACAACAAAGAGTCAATTTTAGCACAATTCAACAAGACACAATAAAGAGAAGCATCCAGCCAGAACAGAAATGCAAGTACAAGAGAAGGTACTTAAATCATTGGCATAATTTATTTTTTGAATGGTAATGTAACACCATATGAGTGCTTTGTTTAGAAAAAAAAGGAATAAGACAACCAATTCTCAGGTGATATAGTAGAATGCTATAGTCATTATTCCAAAGGAGATTCTATATAATTTGCATTATAACTATACTTTTTCTTGTAATGGAGTAGAGAAAACAAAATTCAATATAACAGGAGTCACATTCTTGGTCTGAGGCTCTGTAATAAACTGCATGCTGATACCTGCTTTTAATTTTATTTCAACTACCTTGTCCTGTCCAATATATTGATTTCAAACCATAATGTGAGGTTGACAACATCAGCACCTGAATATGGGAGGGGAGAAAATCTTTATTCTGTTCTTGAAAATCAGGATCTCAAAAGGAATGTGTAAAAAAATAGATATATATCCCTTTCAGTGCTTAGACATGCTTCCAGTAACGCACTAGAGCATACAATATCACACATCAGATGAGCTTAGGAATGAAGCGTGGCACAGCGTTTTAACAACATGATACAATATTTTACTTTTAGTATTTTCTGTAATGGTAAATATACAAGTCAAAGTGGTCATCAAAAGCAAAGTAAGAAAAAACATGTAGTATTTCCTG